CTTTTTAATAGTAAACCGAGATTGGTTTGGGGAATACTGGGGAAAACTTTATAGAATGCTTTGATGAAATAAAAAATCTCCACAAAAATAGTAAAACTGTTCATCTGTATATGTGTCTTAGTGTCAGTTTTGTGGTTTGTCGAGTGTGTCTGTCTACATTTCATGAATTAACATAAAGTTACCCCCACACGTTTGTGTTCTCTACATATTAATTATGTGTTCCCTGACCATCAGTAGCCTGCGAGCAGCAGCCCACCTGTCACATCTGTATCAGCAGCAAACAGAGGAGCGCAAGCAGCACCAGCAGTGTGATCCAGTTTTCTTGCAAGCTCTCCTTCTAATGTACTACAAATGATGTGGAGGCATCATATGACGAGACGAGGAAGCCCATGAATTACTCTGAGAGCACTCACAGCAATAACTGGCATGAGAGTGATATCATGTTGGGTTTGGTGCACAGACGTGCCAGCAGCCACTGTTATGTTGTGTATTCCATGTGAATTTGAGTTCAACAAAACACCATCAGAATGTGCTATAAGGGTTAAAGCTGGTGAGTTAGGGCAGATAATGTTAACTTCATTGTGCATCTGCTGTAGGGAAGCAACAATCAAACCCGTGCCAGTGAACCTCAGAGAGGCCAGATGGCTACAAACCTGCCTCTTTCCCCTGGGAATCCCTCATCTGCACTGTATTGATCTGATCTGTCTATCCCATTTTCTCTCCTCTGTTCAGTTACTGCCAAGATTCTTACATAAAGTTACTTAAAGTAATTTTATTTTGTAATGAAATCTTTTCCCCCTCTTGAGGATTAGGGTCTGACCAATTGGATGACAGATAATTTAAGTGATTTAAAATGAAAACTCTGAATATCAAGAAAAAACATGTAATTTTTTCATAAGTCTATAGACGTATTATGCAGTTACTAAAACCATGCATGGTTTTTTGTAACATTGCAGTGATGTTGACTTGAAATTAGATGATGTATGGCCTCATAGTTTGAGTTAATTTGGAATACTTTTATCAGTGATCATTCATCACATTTATATCATTGTAAATTATTACCTTGTTTTCACTGATGATATCATTTATCTGTCTTATCGTTTTTTTAAACAGCTCTCTTTCTCTAAAACATGTAACACAGGTTTGGGAAAAGAGCAGTGGAAATCTGACCTTACCAGGCTCCTGGGCCCGTTAAGTCCCTTCAGTAGTCCTTCCATGTGCTTAGAAAGAGTTGCAGAAATCATGTTTAATCTGTTTTCAGGCTTAAGCACTGTTTTGAAATTGTATATGGATTTATGGAATCTTTTCAAATAAGCACAAATATAAATTAACAACTGATTAGTCTTTCCCACATGCAGAAAACGGTATGAATGAATGAATGAATGAACTAGTGTCTCCTTCACTGACAAACTTGACCCCACATCTATGACTTGACCTAAATCTTCAAATTGTCAAATCTAGTAAAACTACTTGTGCCAGGACACACATTATTGTGTTTTTGTGCACGCTTTACGCTGATGCTTGTTAATATACATTTGGATTTTTTTTCCACCAGATTTGATAATCCCTGATAATGAGTGATAGTTTTTGATTTATTTTCCTGTTGACAAAGCAAACACTGGGGGGATATATTTGGGAGAAGGAGGTGGGGTGGTACAAATTAGCCTTTATATTGATCAGTTTTGAGCAGACACGGTTCTGTCTGAAACACTGGGGTAGAAATCAGCCTCAGGCTGATTACCATCAATGCAGCCCATTATGCAAGCAACACTGTGATACAACAGATGATGTGTATATAGACATATAAATTCGCCATTTCTGTGTCTGTGATGTGGCTTCATAAGAAAAATCAGAGCAAGATCAGGCCACCATATTGGATAGCACAAAGAGAATGCAACAGATGGAATTATTGCATCTAATCCCCCAAAATATGTCAGGACTTTTAGACAAACTTGCATTCAGAAAAAGAAATTGGTAATGATTCTATTGAAACTACTTTAGGGTTTACATGAATATGAAGCATGCCTACAACTTTGTGAAACAGTGTTGTCATGCATGTCAAAGAGGCCGTTTTCAAGCCTAGTTTAGAGAGAAAAAGGCAAAACAATGAAAAAAATTCATAAAAGCCTGCTCTAACAGACTGCTTTATTTCAACGTCAAAGAAGATTATTTTCAAAATATACATAAAAATGTTCATACTGCTGTGTGTTCATGGAATATTTGGAGAGTGCAGCTTGGTCTTAAAGCTAATAGGTTTTGTGTCTGTCAATCACGCTTGGATAAGTGCAACAATGCTGCCACCTGCTGAGTGGAATGATCCTCTTCTGACAGGTATTGCATAAGTCTTCCCCATCTCCCTGACATGCACCACAGGCCTCTTCATTGTTAAATGAACCTGAAGGCTCGTCAGCTGTTGTTGGGACATTCACACTTTGAGAGTTGTTGAGTTCACAGTCCACCATGCGGTGCGTCGTGTAGGTAATTTTCACCAGTGGGTTATTTATTTTGACCTGCCTGACAAACATGTTTTACTCTAAAATCATGGTTAATTCAAGGGAAAAGTACAAAGCTGAAATATTTGTCAGGGTAGTAATATCTGAGGCCGCCTCCTTTGGTCATCACAATTTTTTCTGTAATGAAATAGATGACGTTTCAGTCCTTCAAGAAAACCAAACACAAGATTAGAAGAACACAATTCTAACTACCTTCTATTTACGGACCTATTTCATTGTGTCACCTACTGACAGCATGGGTTGAATAGGTTTCTCTGGCTCGCTGGTCGCTTCATATCTGCTGCCTGAAGTCTCCTGTAAGCTAAGCTGTCACTCAGTACGAGGCATTTAGCATCTCTTTTGTTCACACCAGTAAGTCATTCAAGGGCTATTTTAAGAGTGTAATGTAAGCTGCCACTTACAGCTACTCTGATCAAATCTTTAAAAATGTGAATCCTCATTTCCTCAGCAGCATTACTGCATTTTGAAATTGCTTTTAATTAAAGCCAAACACACAACCAAACAAGATAAGTAAAGAACAAGTAGGCCTACAAGAGGAATGTCTTTGACAAGGTTAATTGTTTCACTGTGCTGTTTTTTTTAATCATTGTTGTCTTCATAAACAAACTGTATGAGGGCTAGAGGCAAAACATGTTTTTCCTCAGTTATAGGTATGTACCCCTGAAGACCCATTACACTGGCATTGATAAAGGACCGGCTCACGGGCGTCTGGGTTTGGCGTGGGGGTGGGATGTTGGACCATACTTTTGTTGGAGCCAGATGTGAATGGCTGACAACATCTTTACCACTCTGGGCATCTTCCGTCTAGTTCCTGTCCAGCTAAAAAACAAAAACAAAAACGGGTAAATGAAGGCTGTCAGAGCTTTTAGTTTTGGTCCCCATAAACATTGTTTTGAGATCAGTTTACACAGTCCATTACGCTAAATGACTCTTGAACCTGCAGGGTCACAACTCATAAACTACAGCTGGTGTCTTTTACCAGCGTTAAGTTTACAATACAAACAAACATGTATTGGAACTATAAGGTTTCTTCATTTTAATCATGCACAGAGGTTAGTGTATATTTATTACACCTTGAAAATTGTATTTATTTCTATATAAGAGACATAAACTTAATATATGGCCAGTTGTTTGATATTAGCAGCATTTTCTCTTATCTGTTCAGATTAACACCCCCCAGGTGACCTCCATGGCCCATCCAGTAGGAGGGATCAGAGCCACCTTTGTTTTTTTCCTATAATTCTTTTGTTCCACTTACAGTATATCAATCTCAGTGCCCCCCACCTTATTTAGAACTGAAGAGGCCTCTTGGATGCAAGGCAAAACTTCTTCCTGTAAACTTCAGGCCCATTTGCCTAACTGAACTTTTCAAGCCAGTACTTTCTCTTTTTTTTGGTTCATTCTTTAAGGTTAGACACCAGTTGACACATGTATTTTAAGTTAATTTACTTTGCTTCTCCTTTACATTTTTTACCTTCTCTTTCGGATGAAAAGAGAAATAGAAGAAGTTGCAGCTGTTACAGCAAAATATCATTTCTAAAAGATGAGATAAACACCACACAGTAGCTTGCTACTTTATGTAAGTGAAACAATGACAAACTCATTTACAGAGTGAGCCACATCTCACAGGCAACGGTGCACGGTGAGGCTTACTGTTGCAACTTATGGAGAAGGATGTTATGAAATCAGCAGACCTAAGAAGGACCACAATGAAACATTACCTTCAACATCTGACTTCACCATTTGTTGACTGTTTGAAAGGCTGAATGAAATTGTGCTAAAACTAGTTACCATTTCCCCTGATACATCAGCAGGAAGTTTAGTGCCATATTTGGGATACAGTGTGCATGAGGGCCATGAACTTGCTGCTCAGTGCTGGAAGTGAAACTTCTCATACTGACAGTAAACAAACTTTATCTCTCATGCACATCCTTTATATAAATAAACATGATTGACTATGTATTGTAATGTTTAATTATCTAAAGTTACATATCAGAAGTGTGTCATTACCTGTTACCCATCCATGTGTAAAAGAGGTCTGAAGTCAATTGGAATATGTGCACCATCAGCCTAGATTAATGTACATGTTATATAAATAATTAAATCAACAGATTATTCAGACTTACTTCAATTTAGAAAAAGGCTCCCTTTGTTTTTTTCATATCTTGGATTTTGATTTTAAGCAATGCACAGATAATAGATGTGGCCTTCTTTAAAGAAAGAGGAGGAAGACACTCTCTATCCCAGAGAAGGTGAGTAGGCTGGCCTGGTAATCCAAGACTCTGTTGTTCTCTAAACACAGACAAAAATGTGATAAGATGCTGGTTGAATAATGACACAGCACGACAGGTTTACTGGCATACCAAGACACTGTATTCACCATCAATATTGTGGGTTGGTGCAGAACACATTGCTTTGTTGAAGTGTCACGGGGGGATTAAAGTGTACATGTTCATGTCTGTCTGCATGCATGTGCTAGTCCCACCCATTATCATACAGCATGTATCCACGCATGCAAACACAAGCACCTTTAAAAAGGTGGTGTTTATAAATCAGGCTTTTTTTCCCATCTGGGTTCAGTCAGCTGTCATCCCCACAGCTCGGCCTGTGCCTGCATAAGGTAAGTCTAACATTTTCCACTGCAGTAATGAATGGAATGTGTGCAACATTTGGCTGTAGGTTTCCAGGATCAAACTACATCAGCATCATTCTCCTTTTTGAAATGTCATCTTCATGTAACTGTGGTTTCCACATCTTCAATAAGCACTTTGTCTGTGTTGATTTCCAACTGCAAAGTAATGATAGATTGCAGGGAAGTAAAGAAAATTTGTGTCACTATAAAAGATTTGGTTAACTGTGAACAGTCTTAAAAGTAACACATTATATTATATGATATTATATGATATTATATTATATTATATTATATTATATGAACAGGTTGGTGGTTTGATCCTTGGCTACATGTCAAGGTGTCTTTGTCATATAACCTAGACCCCTGGTTGCCTGCAATACGGCTACAAATGGGGTGCAGGTTTCGGTGTCCTTTTTGTGCCAGTATATAACCAAAATAAATACAAGGGTTGCATACAGAAGGGCATCTACTTTACCTAAATACCTTATAAGACTACACAATGATGATTTGGAAGTATTGCATGGTAATATATTATACATACAAACATTTTTTTTTAAAGATATTTTGTTAAAGGCCCAATAAAGATTTCATACAAAACCAATCTATTTTTCTCTCTATTTTTCTTGGATCAGGCATTAAAGGATTAAAGCACAAGTCAACATGTGTATTGCAAGTGTATTTTATTAGAAAAGATTTACAAGGATCTTTGTCCAACATACATAATGAAAACATTAAACAAAAGTTTAAACATTAAAAGTTATTTCAGGTTAATGATCGTTTGTAAGTTTTTCTGAATGTTTAATTTCCTACGCAATTTGATCCTTTCGGGAATTTCTTTTGTAAAAATCTATTATTAACCAGAAAGGAACTTTATAAATTCAATGTGTGACTGCTATTACTATTACTTCCTAATATATACTGTATATACCATTTTAGATGGCATATGTTATGAGATTAATGGTGTGTAGTGTTCAGATGATTCACACTAGTACAATGACGCAAAATTGATTTTAAACGCATTAACCTTGATTAATTCCCTCGATTAATTAAGTTTTGCCAAACCGTTGCCTAACACTGTCCTCAAACCAAGTCCTCAGTCCATGAAAATAATTTATAATGCAGAGTTTTTATTATTTGTGACCAAAATATTTCGCCTGCTTGAACTGATGTCTAGCCCTACAAAATCTGTAAAAAAAACAAAAACACAAAACATACATCTTCTGGAAGTGCATTAAAGTCCCTTTAATCCAAATCTTTCTCTCCTATGAACAGCTGTGTTATGGCAATAGGTTTCTATGTTTTCACATACAACTTTAAGCCTGACATCAGATAAAATAGATACACTGGAATTCCAGAGATATTTGAGCCAAAATGAGAATATTAGATGTTTTGATATCACAAAAAAATACAGTAAATGTAGTCATTTTATAGAATGTATAATAGTGAATCTGAATATGACACAAGAAACATCTTGAAAACATATTTTCCCCTTTGTTATAGCTGCCTGGAACACAAAGTGCTACCTCCTGTGCAGAGTGAGAGGTAACACGCACGTGCATACACAGTCATGTTGACAACATCAACACTCGCAGGGTGAGCTGCCATTCATGACCACGTCCGAAACGAGCAGTAAACCAGAGCCTGCTGCCACCTCCGTGCTAAAGCAGAGCAGCCACCATGTTTACTTCAGACACATATCAACTTCCGAATCTCCAAAGATCCAATTCTGTTCTGTCCCCTCAAGAAGAGGATGGACTTGGCCTCACATGCTCTTTACTGCATTGTAACACAACACTCACTATATCAGTTGGGCTTTTTTTTTATCAGAGTAGCATGAAGTTGATTGTGTCTGGTCCCAGTCTGAGCAGAGTATGTTTCTCATCTGAGTTACATTAGAATGGCACCTTGGATGCATATTTCTCCTACAACAAACATTCAGATGGAGTTGTCAGTCTAAACTGCTGCCTTTATGTTGAGAGATTATTACGTGGAAAAAACACAGTGAATCACAGCAACCAAAATACTTTCATTTAAATTGGGCAACCCTCAACGATGGGCTCATATATCAGCTAAGAATAAGTAAATGCCTTTTCTAGACGGTAATTTTCATCGTCCTCATATTCAGGCTTCTCCTGAATACCTATTCAGGAGACAGAGACACAATGACGCACATGTGGCCGCTGAATGCACAGTTGTAAACCACCTGTTTAAGCTGTGTCTTTAGGCGGTGCAGCTCTAAGTAATCCCTTTCCTCCAATTTTCAACTCTGTCCAACAATCACCAGCATGGCTTTATCCCTTCATGTCTCTGTTTCTGAAGTTGTGTGTGGAGCACGGGGAGCTGATGAAGGACCAGGAGCAGCAAGCGTATTGGCAGGAGACGGGTCGATGGGCTGGCTACGAGGAGAGCTTGGACCCCCAGTCGGGGGTGTGGGCGTCCTCGCACATCTCCTACCTCACCTTCAAGAGCCTTATCCATCTGCGACGCACCATGAACACAGGTCAGTGAGGAGATTTCTTTTAGCCTTACTGTAACACCCATAAATTGAATTATTTCATCCCGATTTTATTGATTTTCTACCTTCCCTTTGGCAGGATGTTTTCTGTAAGCTGACCCCAAAGTAAAATAATTGAATACAATAAGTCCTGGGGCTCTTTGTTTCTTTTAAACAGACACAGTGGTTCTACCACGGGTCTGATGTTTGTTTTAAAGTCCTTTTCCAACATTTCGTCTGTCAAGGTGTGGCAATTTTTGACTGTGAGGAGAAGACTTTAGACACCATTGCTGAGAGGATGGTTGGTGAGATGATTAACAAGAAGGAGATCAGGTCGGATGACCGGGAAGGAGTGCTGAAATGTCTGCTCCAGAACCGCAGGTATCCACCGAGACATCACCCAACACTGACTCAGACACACTGACCTACATTCGTGCTTTTAGCTGAAGTCATTCACAAGAAAGGAGAAGCTCTCAAGGTGTCACTCTGTAAAAGTCAAAAGTGACATGTGGCTGTTGTGCAAACCAAACCCATGATTAGGTGACACTATCAACCACTTCAACCTGTGAGAATACCAATGTGTACAACGCTCACCTTGACAGTTCAACAGCAGAGCATGACTGTTCACTCAGTTCCACAACTGAACACAGCATGTTGCTACAACAGCACAATAGTTTAGTTTGTTATATGTCAGTTGATTAAAAACATAAAATGAAAAAATCTAGTAAATAGATAAAGAAATATATATATATATTCTGGATGCTTCTTTTTCTTTTCTCTCCAGTCAGTCATCTGATCCAGAGAGCCAAATGCTGAATGAAGCGACAAAGCTGCACAAGTTCTCAGTCAAGGAAAGAGTGAGTCCTGTGAACGTCACTATTTTAACTCTGTGTGAAGGTAAAATGGTAAAACTGGCAGTAACGTTCATACTCTCATCAAACTGTTTATAAAATTTCTATTCAATCCATTCAATCCAAAATATCCATAATATTTCCACATATGTAGCAGGCTCAAAGAAACTTTTCAAAAGTTTTTTCCCTGGTAAATTTTCTGTTGCTTTAGGTGGAAGAAAGCGACCGTGTTGATGCCTCAATGGTGCTAGTAGGTGAGCCTCAGTTTCTTTTAGTTTTGCCTTGTAGAATCTAAAGTGCTATGTGTCTACCTATGTGTGTGCTCATGTTATCTTTCTGTAGGAGCCTTGGACTTTTTGGAGAAGCCCACGGTTGTTTTTGTGCGCCTGAAAGAAGCAGTGGTGTTTGATTCAGGCCTGGAGGTCCCTCTGCCCGTGCGCTTTGTCTTTGTGCTCGTTGGACCCACCAACTCTGACGTGGACTACCACGAGTCCGGCCGTGCTATGGCAGCACTGATGGCTGATAAAGTAAGTCTGCTCAGACATTCCTCATACATACGTTACGTGATCGACTGTACACTAAAGCAAGAGGTTTGTGAACCATAAGACTGAAGGGCCTGAAACTTCCTGAGAGGGCTAAGAGTTTGAGATGAGTTCTACTTGCAGAACACTGTTGTCAGTTCAGAAAAACCAAAAAGCAAAAAACAGTGTTTTAACTCTTTGGTTTTCTGGTGTTATTTTGTTTCGCCCTTCAGTCCTTACGTCCAGCCTTTCTTTCTCCCAGGTCTTTAATCAGGCCGCAATTCAAGCAAAAACCACCAGAGAACTAACTGACAGCTTGGTGGACTTCATGGACTGCAGCATCGTCATTCCGCCCACCGAAATCCAAAACGTGGCAATGCTCAGTCCCATAATCAGCTTTCAGAAGAAACTACTACAGGGCAGAAAGCAGACATCGGACCTCATGCTCCGCCGAGACTCCAAGCCTCGCAGTGGTGTGTGCCACAAAAGTTGAACAAATCAGACTGCTTATTCAGTGGGAAGCTTAATCATTTTTTGCTTCTACTGTTTGAAATTTTGTGTTCATGTCACGTCATGTTTCCATCTTCTCCAAGCTTCCATCGCTAGCAGTTCTCTTCAAGAAGATCCCCTTTCTCGAACTGGTCGGCCGTTTGGTGGGATGATGCGAGATATACGCAGACGCTACCAGTACTATAAGAGGGACATCACAGATGCCCTGAACTCGCAGGTTCTTGCTGCCATCATCTTCATCTATTTTGCTGCCCTCTCTCCAGCCATAACCTTTGGAGGCCTTCTAGGTGTGTATATGTGTGTTTGCTCTGATTTTTCTGGCAAATGTCTCTTTGTTTTGTGCAGTAGTTTAGATGTTTTTATGTCTATCTTTATAGCGGACAAGGTGGAAAATATGATGGGAGTTCCAGAGCTCCTCATATCCACCAGCATTCAGGGAATCATTTTTTGTTTTGTCGCTGCTCAGCCCATCCTGGTTATTGGTTTCTCGGGACCTCTTTTAGTGTTTGAGGAGGCCTTTTTTGCCGTGAGTTTTTAAGTCTTTATTGCTTACTTTTATTATGCTTATAAAACAATAGTTAGCCATTACCAGACTTAATCTCATCCCAAGTCTCCTTTGTTCAGTTCTGCAAGTCTCAGGACATTGAGTATATTGTCGGGAGGGTGTGGGTCGGAGTGTGGCTGGTCATCATTGTGGTGGTCATTGTGGCCTTTGAAGGCAGCTTCCTGGTGCGCTTCATCTCACGTTTCACCCAAGAAATCTTCTCCATCCTCATCTCCATAATATTCATCTATGAAACTTTTGCCAAGCTCGGGAGGGTAAAAAATCTGAATTATTCGTTATACATCTGCCATGAGAAAGTCTGAAACATTTAATCTTCGTGATTGTATCCACACAACAAGATCTGCTTTTTTTTAACCTTCCCTTAGATCTTCAAGGCCCATCCACTGGCTCTAAATTATGTTCAACTAAATGCATCCCTTGAAAATCCTTGGTACCAAAAAGTGGAAGAGAAGGCCATGTATGACAACGCCACAGGCAACATTACTATTCTTGTCAACACTATAAAGCCATCTTACCCAAACACAGCCCTGCTCTCCATGTGCCTCATGCTCGGCTGCTTCTTTATCGCCTACTTTTTGCGCCAGTTCAAGAATGGGACATTCCTTCCTGGAAACGTGAGTAAGCAGGAGATATTCAATCTCCAAATAAAAAAAAACCTCTTGAATCAAATGACATTTAACTTGCTTTGTAAATGCAAAGAACTTTAAAATCCTTTTTTTTGTATGCATAAATCGATGCTCACCAGGTTAGACGCTTGCTTGGTGACTTTGGCGTGCCTATTGCTATTTTCCTCATGGTTGTTGTGGACTACAACATTGAGGATACCTATACTCAGGTAGGTTCATTATACTAAGCGAGAAAAGAGAAAAAAAAGGTTTTATAGATTATTTATAAAAAACACTGATAGTTCACAACATATAGTTGGACATTTTCTTTTGCATCACCTTTATGGAAAATACTTACAAGAAGAAAAATCCTTCAGTGACACCTATGAATAATGAAGTAAACCTGACGGTTGTTTTGAAGACAAATTTGAAAAGACTACCTATAAAAATACTCCAGTTGAGCTAATAACTGGTTGCTTTTTCTTAACAGAAACTGGTTGTTCCCAAAGGCCTCATGGTATCCAACCCAGAAAAGAGAGGCTGGCTCATCAACCCATTTGGAGAGCACAAAACTTTCCCCGTCTGGTTGATGTTTGCATCCTGCATCCCAGCCTTGCTTGTCTTCATTCTTATATTTTTGGAATCACAGATCACGACGTGAGTCATTATATATCTCATTTAATGTCATTCAAGAAAAGATCACTGTATCATTGAATTTGACATTTCCTGGCTTTGATTTTTCTCTGATCCTTCATATCTGGGGGCAGTCTGATCATCAGCAAACCTGAGAGGAAGATGGTGAAAGGATCCGGGTTCCATTTTGACTTGTTGGTTTTAGTCGGGATGGGAGGGCTCAGTGCAATATTTGGGGTGCCGTGGCTCAGCGCTGCCACAGTGCGATCCGTCACCCACGCCAACGCTCTCACTGTCATGAGCAAAGGACCAAAACCTGTGATAGAGAAAGTGATGGAGCAGAGGGTCAGTGGCATCGTGGTGGCCTTGCTTGTTGGTAGGCACTGTCTTGTCTCTGTGTCTTGTGCATAGGTCTTTGTATAGACTTTTTGGATTGTATTGAGAACACCAGATTTATTAGACGCTTGTGTGAAGGTCTGTCAATTCTGATGGAGCCCATCCTCAAGTTGATTCCAATGTCAGCCTTGTTCGGGATCTTCCTCTACATGGGCGTAACATCGCTAAATGGTATTCAGCTCTGGGATCGAATGCTTCTTCTTCTCATTCCCAAGAAATACCACCCTGATGAACCCTATGCCACCAGGGTAAGAGTCCTATTTTTTTATGTAACCAATGTTTTCTGCTGGAATTAAGATGGTTTAAAGATAGTTAAGAAAATTACAGTATCAACAAATGCATTTTAGGCAGTGAGATGCTATTCTCTTATGTGTTCATTAATTTCACATCACAAACTGTGGAAATAATGTTCTTTATGTGTTTGGTGAACATCTATCAATTCCATTTCAGGTGAGCACGGGGCGGATGCACTTGTTTACGGCCATCCAGATAGTATGTCTCGCCGTTTTGTGGATGGTGAAGTCCAGTCCAATATCACTCGCACTACCCTTCATCCTCATCCTCACCATCCCTCTACGCATGGTAATGACAGGAAGTCTCTTCACTGAAATGGAGATGAAATGTGTAAGTAGCCTCCCATTCATTGTGAAAATTCAGAGGCAGAGTGGACTAGCATTGGAATGTGATTGTTCAAATTTTGCCATCTTTGTTTGCGGTTTTAGCTGGATGCTGACGATGCCAAAGTGACATTTGAGGAGGAGCCAGGGCAGGACGTATACTGTGAAAGTCAGATGCCATTGTAGACATCCTCCTTAGCAGTTGCTGACACTTGCTGAATGTGTTTGTCTTTCTTAAGTCTGAAATAATGTTCAAGTTACAGACAAGCAAAAGCTTTTTCAATGTCTTATTTTTATTTTTCATTGTGAAAAATGCAAAAACAGAATCTTTCTATTGAAAGTAACAGCTAGTGTGAATATCTTGTAGAAAGTTGTCTGGATATAAATATTCCTGGAAATTTCTCAACTTACCAGGTAAATCTTTTGCATAGCTGATGCTGGACTTTATCTGACACATGCATTTTAACCGCAAAAAACAAAGAACGGATGCATAGAAAATACCAATGCTTTAAGAGGGGAGATTCGTATTTGAAAAGCACTTCAGAGATGAAAAGGACAGTGAAAAACAATCAAATAAAAATGAAAGGCATCAGCTCTATTTTCTCATGTAATCACAAGATTTATGTTTTGTGTAAAGTCCATCAAAGTTATTGTTCTATTGAGGCAGTTGATGTGGCCGTCAAATTCTGAATAAAGAATTAAATTATTTATAAGCTGTATTCTGTATAATCTTTTATTTAAATGTCAGAATGTCCTTTTTTGTATTTGTGCATTTCATACTTCGGTATGCCATTATGCATATGGCCAGTTTATATCAGTCAGTTCGAACACTTGAATACCTCAGTTGTACATATTCGAACTGGAGAATTATTCTCAAAAAGAGGAAACTAATTATGCAAAATCATATGCAAGGGGGAGTATCAGAAAAGTAATGTACTGCCAGGGGTTTGACTCCTGGCTCCAAAGATTGACACATGTACGCACAAAAAGCCTTACCATTGCTCTTTCAAGCTCTCTTCTGCTTTTGACATTGATGTAATTCAATTCAATATATGGATAATCCAAAGGCTTGTAAAGATTAATATCTTATGGAATTATTTCGGAGATGTTTGTTGTAAAGTTATATTTTGTTACCTGGTAGTGTTGGTCTGATTAAAGGAATATACACGATAAAATGTAGAAAATATACACGTCTTGAAATCTAATCCTCACCAGTTAGTGGCGGTATTGCATTTGATGTTGTTTGACAACCGTCAGTATAGCAAAACACCAGAAGAAGAAAACGACCGAGACAACGCCGACGAAGAAGAAGCAGCAGCCGAATAAGAAAACGAAGAAGACCAACAGTTTGGCAAAGTCAAACCCCACTTTGGATGGAGAGTGATGGAGGATGGAACTGCGTTGCGCGGCGTCTTACGCGGAAAATATTATTACAAAAAACTTCCCGATGGAACTTTGGATAAAAATAGGGTTTTGTGCAATCTCTGCCACAAGGAGTATGCTTATCAGGGCCCCACTTCATCCCTGCGGCGTCACATAAGGTCAAAACACGGTAATGGGAGCCGGGGTGCTAATCCAGGCAGTAACGGTCCTCGCGCTGTCGTGCCCACAGAGCACGAGACCACAGGGGCCGTGGACCAAATAAATCTACGTCCGACAGATGAACGGACTAAAGCACGTGGTAATGATGTTCTTCAAGTTAATTCATCCCTGTTGATTTAGTCGGTCGTTGAGCAAAACGCATTTGAATGGAAAAGCTTCGCTGACTGTGTCGAATTTAGCTTTTTTGTTGTTGTCAAAATGGAATAAATCGAGGCGAATTAGTTACAAAGTTTTGGGGGTTCCGTCCCGCCGAACATAGGTGTTTCTTGCTCCTTCTGTTGTTGTTCACACATTGACTGTCCTTCCTGTGCTGTGAAGAATGGACCCAGGAAGACCTCCTGAAGCTTCTTGAGGCACTGAAAGCTGTCATCCCTACGGAAGCTAGCAGGTTCTCCTATCACAAAGGGCTGAAAGTTGTAGACTGGACAAAAGTGGCATTTCCACCATATTCCCCGGAGCAATGCCAAGAAAAGTGGACATGCATTTTGAAGAAGGTGACCTCTGTTTTATGCCACCCACCAGAAAAATGAGAAATTCCTGCTATAAGCTGTTGTGGAAATTATGACAGTACATCTATAACCAATAATGTTTAGGGAGATATAAGGAATGACTCATGTAATCATGATGTTGACTGTATCATCTTTCCTGCTACTAACAGTGCACACTTGTTTTAGTGAATAGGTGTGCCTGAAATGACTTAATTTATTGTCTTTGTTTTTTGTTGATTAGATGAGCAAGATTCGTAGCCTGCCTGAGCTAATTGTTCAAGCTGAAGAAGTGATTTCAGCAAAGGTAAGTAAGGATAAATAGATATACTTCATTAATTCAAAGAGAAATTAAGTGAGAATGCTGAACTGCTCATCAAGTCATCTTCAGACTCATCTGAGGAATTTATGCAAACGCTGACCATCAAACATTCAGATAGGTTGCATAGGAGAGGTCTCAGATAAGTTCAAATATTTAATTTCATCAATTTACAGCAAGCCTTTTTTCTTAATTTTCCCTTAATTGTACTGGAGATTCATCCGGAGTTCCTAAAGAAAAAACATCTCATCCCAGGGGAAAAAGGACTTCCTTCGTATGCCGATGACAACGCTGTTAAGATTGAATTGTAAAAGGTTCAGTCAGCTTCCAGATGAAAAAAAGGTGCAGCCTCTTTGAGGCTGATATTTAAAAATGCTCATTTCTCATCATCAAGCGGTGAACAGTAAAAACATTTTGTCTCGTTCACATGCCAAGTATGAAAAGAACTATAAACTTGTGGCTAAAGAATCCAAGAGAAGGATCCAGGAATTCTGGTAGCCAATCAACACTTCATTCGAATGTCATTTGACAACGTGTGTGAATTCATTGTGAAGAAAATGCTTTTTGTTTCAGCAAAAATATGATAAATCTCAGCGCTCAGTCCCAAGAAAAAAGAGACGGAAGGAGAATGCATTAGAAAGTGGCTTTAGCGGCTGGCTCATGAACTGCTGTGCAACACCTGCGTGGTTAGCAGAGCCATCATTATGTTCAACTTAGTGACACACACTCTTTTGTGGTCCTCTCACATCGCAGGAGCTCCATGTCGACGGTACTGAAGATGATGATCTGCCTCCAAGGCCAATTTCGTAAGGCGAACGCACCATTTAGGTCTCCCCAGGGACCACCCGTGAGTCCAAATTCAGACTCTCTGTCTTAAGGACTTTGCCTTCTTGTCTTTAGGAATTGTTTCGCCCTCTTCTGCAAAGAGATGTCCGAAGCCTCTATACATAAGCCAGGAAAAGAGTTTTTGGAATGGCTGGCCAACCGCTGGCGAGATCTGAGCGAAACAGAGAGGACAGAGTACAGAGCTCGCTGCACAGAGGTGAGGCCTCACAAAGGCCGTGTGTTCATACATGACAAGTGATAGAAAACCATTTTTTCAACTGAATTTCTGCACATTATTTCAGAGTAAGAAAGAGTACATTATCAAGCTGGAGGAATATCTCAAGGTAAGCTATGAGTCCTGGACTGGGTAAATCCCTACAAGCTTAGCATGACAGTGTTCATGTGTTTCACAGAGGTTTGATGAGGTGACGCAGCAGAAGATCCTCAAGAGAATAGAAATGAAGAGGAAGATGGTGAGTCTTGAGTATCGTGATGCTTTTGCTAATGAGTTGTTTGAATTGTCAGCGAGTTTATCGCCTCATAGAAGTCATTAAAGTGATTACAAAGTAACTGAAATTAGCTATCAACAGCTTAAGAAATGGATCGGTTTACACCGACAGCAGCAACTCAGGCTCTCTGAGAGGAGGAAAAGCAACTCCAGTAATGTAGTTATCACTGGGATTCAGCTCCAAATAGCTCCTCAGTCATCACCGAGTCCATTCTTAGATGTCTTATAGGCCAACACGTCAAGCTGTGGATGTTCCTATCAACCCTTACACATTTGATTAGGCCTGAAATGGTGTTGGGTTTGTTGTTTTACTTGTTCATGTAATGCTCATACAGACATGCAGAGTTATGAGTCACTGTGAAACAAACTAAAAGAAAAGGAAACAGAGGACTTTACTTTGTCATTTTAAAGTAAGACAAAAGATACTTTGGATTAACACCCTTTCTACATAATTTGACAGTCACAGATACAGACGAAGAAAAGGAAAACTGAGCCCAGGATGCCCTGCAGGTGAGTGTGACTTTTAAACGTCAGATATGCTCCAGAAAGGATCCAGTGTCTCTGTAAACAAATCTAATGGTCCCTCTCTCTGTTTTTGTTTTACAGAGGTGTTAATAATGTTTTCCTTAAAGAGACGATGGAACTTCTGAAGGACACGGTCCCAGTTCAGCAGGACCGGTTTGTGCAGGCAAACAAAATGTGGCATAACATTTCTCCAAGGGAGAAGGAACTTTTAAAAGCTAAAGTCAATCTAAAGATGAAAAAATACGCTGTGGAGCTGAAGGAGTGGTTTGAGGTGACGGAACAATGAATTTCACATTAAAACATGTTTTCTGGGCTTTGTGAAGGTAAAGTTGTACATAATTTCCTTCTTTGTGTAGACGCTGACATCGAAAGAGCAGGAGGAATATCGCAAGTGTAACCCTTACGTAAGCTCATCAAATGTCCCCTTCACATTCCTTAGGAATTTTTATTCATGACTAAATTAACACTGATAAACTTGACTTTTCAGAAATCGAAATTCCTTGATGACAGACCGACGGGGATGTCTTCAACAAACGGGAAATCTCTGCATCCGAGCCAACCATCAGTAAGTTTGACTTCTGTCATAGTTAGAATTTTACTGTCTCATTTATGTACAAATGAACATTTTTTAAAAAGTAATCGAAATGATAAATTGATACATTTGATATCTGATATATTCTTAAGCACCATATTAAAGAAGAATTAATCTCATGAAAATGCATGCAGCACTGCTTATGCATTTTTTGGGTTAATATATATAAATATATATATATATAATTTTTTCCAAAGTCGCTAAACAAATTAATACAATATTTTTAATTGTTGTTCATGCAGTGAACAAATAACAGAGTTGGTAATAATCTGCTAGCACAATTATGTTAAAACATTTCATTCATTCATTTTAGAGGCTTGCAGGCATCGAGTTCAAAGTGAGCGAATGTTTTAAACGAAGCGGCTTCACTTTGCACCTCAAACTGTTTTTTTAATTGAATATCTAGATTAGGGGATTTGGGGGCGGCACGGTGGTGTGGTGGTTAGCACTGTCGCCTCCCAGCAAGAGGGTTCTGGGTTCGAATCCCGGGGGAACCAGGGCCCTTCTGGGTGGAGTTTGCATGTTCTCCCTGTGTCTGCGTGGGTTCTCTCCGGGTTCTCCGGCTTCCTCCCACAGTCCAAAAACCTGCATGTTAGGTTGATTGGAGATTGGGGAAATTGCCCTTAGGAGTGAATGTGAGTGTGAGTGGTTGTTTGTCCTTGTATGTCCTGTGTGTGGCCCTGCGATGGACTGGCGGACTGTCCAGGGTGTACCCTGCCTCTCGCCCGTTGACCACTGGGATAGGCTCCAGTTCCCCCCGCGACCCCAACAGGGAATAAGCGGTATTGATAATGGATGGATGGATGGATGGATTAGTGGATTTGGGGAACTGCTTTACTATCGCAGTAAAGGCACAATAAGTTGTTACTTGTTTTGTCACACAGGACTCAGAAGATGAAGACATGGTGGTCTGCGATAGCAGCAGTGATGAAGATTTACACGTTTTGGACTTTGATAAGGTTCATGATTATTAATGGCCTGTGTTTAAAAAATAAATCTACATTTTAGATTGTATACAGTTCATTAACAATGAACTGCTTATCTACAGGAGGAGGACCAGGAGGATAACGAAGAAGAAGAGGAGGATGAAGACGACATTTTCAAGCTTTTTTAGATGGGGATGAGATGGGAAGCGCTAGCGACGCAGAACTCCATTTTCATTTAACTTTAAAATTGAATCAAACTTACAGAGCAAATACTGAAACTCAGCAATACGCTCTGGTCTGTAGATCCACTGTGTCAAAGGAGAAACGACAAACCCAAAACGCAATTTACAGCTCCAACGTGTTGATTGTACCTCTCCACCGGTGTAAAAACCTGTTCATAGCGTGGAGTCCGCGGTGGAAATGGAGGCGGTCAGAGAAAGGATGCCCTCAAAGACCCATGTTCCTGGAAAAGGTTCCTGTGTTCAGAGTACAGCCATTGTTTGAACGCAGGAGGGCTTCAGGAAGGTGCTTCATCCCCCAATGACATGCATGCGTGGTAACTTTTTCAAATGACCACAGTGTATCATAAAAACAGATGACCCAAGTGGGGGAATCAAATAATTCCAAGAGGCCCCACTCAAACCCACTGACACGGAGGAGAGCTGCATTGTCCCTCTGTTCAGACTTGGTTTTGCACGTGAAGTGGCCTCCCGGTTAAATCACCATGACAAAGTCACAGCAGGCTTTTTTGTGTGTCAACGACGATCACTTTTCCTATTCTTCCAGGGGATTTTTTTTTTCTGTGTGTGGGTGGAGTTGTTTTCTAATAAACTGTTTTCCTCCAGTTACAGTTGTTGTTCGTGTCTGCTGATGGTTGAACTAATTATGAGAATGGGTTGAAAAGCCAAACGCAGAAACGTTTAAACCGTGGCTTTTATGTGGAAACTAGTGGATGAAAACACCCGGGGAAGAGGAGGCACGTCGTGGAAAGCCGATCGGCGATCGATTGCTCCCGTCTGCCCTCCGCGATGTGAAGATGGATGCCTGCCGAAATCGGTAAATAAACTCAATTAAGGGATTCGCGAAGCCGCGGCTGGCGTGTTCCACGCAGGTGAGCTTCGTGTCGGGGTACAGGTGTGTTTTTTTTCCTCCGTGGGGAGGGGTGGGGGGGTTTGGGGGGGTTGGTGGGCGGTGGGCAGCCGCAGTGCAGCAGCGGTGTTTGGCTCGCTTCTGTGAGGTGTTTCCTCAGCCGCAAAGCGACTCCATAACCGCGTAGAACCGGCGGACACGGCGTGTTCCACGCCCGGTCGGTGGTGGGACTTGCCGGGGAGAAGCTGCCGTGGGGCTGGGGGAGCAGCCTCTCCTGTTACCCCCCCCCCCCTCCTCCGGCAGGAGCCTATTCATAGCCCCGCTCTTTGTCTCCTTCACGGTTCCAGCTAAGCTACTTTCATTGAATGGTCATTTTCCGGGCAGCGGCGGGCTGGTGAACTAAACGTCGTGGGTGCCCACTTGTCAACACGAAGTTTTTTTTTTGTTTGTTTGTTTTGGGCGCAGGTTGTAGTCGTGGGGACTGGCTCCCGGACTCCGTTTCTCACCGTGCAGTTGTAAGTGCCCTGCGTCAAAAGCCGAGCGCAGCCTGATGGGCATCCATTGTTTTGATGGGGATTTCTGGTGCCACCGTGTTGCTAACTGTGCATTCCGTCCTGCCGCAGCCCTGTTTTGGCCCATGCTTTGCTGCCCTACAGCATGACCACAGCGGTGTCTGCTCATCTGGAAGTTCTGGCAAATGAAAATGGAGGAGGTTTCAGTGTCCAGCCTGGACAACAGCAAGCTGGAGGTACAGTGGACAGGACTCTGGTGTGACAACACACTGGAAACAATTCACATCACATCTGCAGGCATGATGCTGCAGACCTGGTGGACCCCCACGCTCAGTTGTAACCACATGCACCTTCTACCCGCCCCTGCAGGCCCTAGCTCAGGACATCCTGTCTGACCTGGTGGAGGACGCATGTCTGGGACTTTGCTTCGAGGTCCACCGAGCTGTTAAGCAGGGCTATTTTTTCCTGGACGACACGGACCAAGAAAGCATGCGGGACTTTGGTGAACACAATCTGTCTTCCTTATGAAATAATCATTTCGCCTTATCACAGTGTGCAATGCAGAATATATTCATTCAAAATCTTGATGTCTATGTCCAGAAATTGTGGACCAGCCTGGATTGGATGTGTTTGGCCAAGTGTACAACCAATGGAAAAACAAAGAGTGTGTATGTCCCAACTGCAGTCGAAGCATTGCTGCTTCTCGCTTTGCTCCACATCTGGAGAAATGCCTCGGGATGGGACGCAACAGCAGTCGCATCGCCAACCGCAGGTATAACAGGAAAACAGCAAAGGAGGGATCACTGGCATCATCTCAGATGTTAAACGTTTATTGTAGTCTTGGTTGGATCTGTAAATTGGTCTACCTCTTCTTGTCCTTTTAACATCATTTTAAAGCAGAAAATGTAATCGCTGATTATCTGGCTATGCACCTCTCATGTACTGGTGCATGATCAAAAATCAGTCACGTAGCTCCAAAAGCAAACAGTAGTTCTGTATGTCAGCAATAAGTACCTTTATGGTCAGATTTGTAATTTGAGATAACGTAGCTGAGTCAGAGTTTGCCTTTTGCCATCTCTCCGTGCAGAATAGTCACCGGTAACAACGCCACCAACAAGTCAGAAAGTGACCAAGAAGACAATGATGACGTCAATGACAACGACTGGTCCTATGGGGCAGAAAAGAAAGGTGATGCTCTGATACAAATACAACACTTCATAAAAAACAATCTCATTTAAGAGCTGAATTATTCATGACCTCTTTTTTTGGGATCTTTTTTTTTACAGCAAAGAAAAGAAAATCAGAAAAGGTACTTGAACTTTTTTTATATTCTATTTGTTTTGTTTTTTTGCATAAAAAGTATTTATTTTGTATTCTTGCACTTTAGAATCCAAACTCACCAAGAAGATCCAAATCATTCAAGCATAAAAGCAGTAAGCTCTATTTTCCTTTTGTAACAACAAGCCTTCCTTTGTAAATCTTGGTTACACCACAATAAGTCACACATGACCCTCAGAGACCTGCATGCTTGTCATAACTTTATCTCATCTATGCAACATGGAAGTGGTTGTAAGATTATAGATAATGCAGCATTTACATGATACAGGAAAGCGTTTGCGAGCTTACTGTGCCTCTTATACCGACAACTGGCATTTCTCAATCCTGTTTAACAGATAACATGATTTTCAATTTAAAACACTTTTATGGATGCGGTGAAAACTGATGCACTATGCAGTTTCCTGTCCGTGTTAAAAAAAAAAACTGCTCATTTATTCTACTTGAAGTGTAAAACCTGCTACTGAGAATTAGCCAATTAATGACCCCCTTCTATTTATTCCTGTACAGGCATGATGGCCCCTAGACGGCGCATGGACAACCAGGAGAGCCCGCGCATGTTGATGAAAGATGAGACGTTCTCTCAGTAACGCACCTGGCTGCAAACGCATATTCTTTCACCGTTAAGCGTGAGAAACCACACAGAGGCACACAGGAGGGAGAACAATGGCACTTCAGCTCCGGTTCATTACGTTGTGAATCCGGTGGACGCTGACGGTCCGGGTGACATTCGTGGTGTTTGCTGCTGTGCGAAAGCAGCCCCCGACTCCCACGCTATACTTGACAGATTCACTTCTATTCTCAGACTCATTGTTCCAACACTTTTTTTTTGTTGTCGTTTAGTTGATTGTTTTCGATGAGTATAACCACATCCGATTTGCTGTGCAGAGGCAGACTGGTGGAACAGACTCATGGGTTGAGCAGAGGCTGCTGTGCGAGTGCAACGCTCTGCACAAACACTTGTTGTTTGGTCAGCACACAGAAAGGACGAGGTGTGCTGACATCTCCTCACATTTAAAAAAAATCTCATTTGTAGAAAAATAATGTCTGAGACAATCATCTCTAATGGTTTGTCTTTTATTTTCGCAATCACTGTCAGGGTCATGGTTCTTCAGCTGAATCACAACACAGGCAGCTGTGTGTGTTGTTCACCTGGGGAAGCTTGTCTTAATGCTCAGTCACTGAACTTCTACGTGTACAAGCAGGTATTTTCTGCAGAAAGCAGGTTACTTTTGGTTTTTCTTTTTGGTGGATAGATCAACTTGTTTTCTAGCATTCAAGTCAGTCTTTGTATCATGTGTTTACATTGTAAAGGATCACATATGTCCTCGGTGTGATGTGTTAGTGTAAATATTCTAATAGTTGAATCGCTGCTATCATGGCTCAGTTTGTTTCATCTGTCTAGCGTAATAAATGATTTGTTACCTGTCTTAGGGTTTTCTGTTCATCTGAACATACAACAGACACTGAAGATACTAAGATACTGACCAACAGGAGGTGCTGTTAGTCAGATCATTTACTAATTTAACTGGACTGGAGAAGTAGGTGGTTGCTAGTTTTTCTTTCTTATTTTTTAAAGATGAAATGTTGCACTCATATCAGGATTACCCAGTTTAAGTTATACAAATCCAGTGTTTTATCATACCTATGTGTTCCTTTCCTAAAATATGGCATCTCAGCACTAAATCATTTGACCTAAACATGTCATTTAGATTAAACATCAGGTGCCATGGGTTATATGAAGACTAATTTTCTAATGAATTATTTGTTATAACCAATTTAATATTTTAGTCAAACAAATAATTAGTCTATAGTCTGAAAACCAACAACTTTTTGCCAGCAAATGAGAGCAGAAAATATTGTTTATGTGAACAAACTTAAAACAGCAACAATTGGTGTATTCATGCTTAGGTTTATACTGGGACCACCCTCAAAGAGAGTCCTGTATTGTAATACCACACAAAAACTTATTAATGCATAATCTGAAGCCATGAAGCATCACTTAGGTGAGATTTGAAAATAGTTGTGAAGGATTATAATGGAGCTGTATATTATATGGAGGCAGCAGGTGGGTGGTTCAACGTCTGAGACTCAATGTCCAACTCAATTAGGAGGAACTAATGCATTTGTTCTTTTATAAACAACCAGCATGCAAAAAAAAAAGAATTCAAGTGTGTGACATGGAAAACAAATATTAAGGATTATTCATATGTAATAATATCATTTCCCTAATTATATAAAATACTATCATTTCAGTCTCAAACAGACCCCATGTCTTTAGGCTGAATACAATCAAATGATGTATTTCTTTAGTGCAATGTTGTATTTTTCTGTTGCTGAATATTTCAGGTTTTTCTGCTCTGGGCCTCTGCTTGTTGTCTTATTGGAGGGAAGTGGTTTGATGTAGAAACTCATGTCACAACAGCAAATTGCAAAATGAGTGTGAGCAGGAATCGAGTAGGCTACCAAAGCACAAAGATGTCCTGTTTCTACATATGTATTTGTAGATAAGTAACGGCATTGACATTTAAAACGACAGGAATGTAACCACAGTAAATGAAAATATATATATTTTTGTGTTGAAGCTGGTTTAAACTTTTGAGATGGATGCAAACAAGATAGGTGCTCAAAAATGTCGAACATCTGAATTTCCGAGGGTAATGAAGGCGGCATTTTGCATAGCGTGTGTGTGGGCAGTGATCCCGACTCAGACAACTTGATTTCGCTCTAAGACACATAGTTTGTGCTTAGTCAGGGGTTAGATTTTGTACCAACGTCCCAGCACAACAGTGAAGTAGCTGTTACTTAGTTATTCCTGTAGCTCAGATACGGGCGGGAGATGAGAGACGACAGTCACCGCTCGGTGTCAAGAAAACCCGCAGTTACAAGGTAGAAGAAAACCCCGGAACTTGCAACGGTCGGAAGCGAGCTAACGTTAGCTAGCTTTTTGTTGACAGTGCTCTCGCTGTCAAAGCAGTCAGACCTCAGCCAGAGGAAAGGCGGTTCGCGCGAGCCTCCGTCTGGTTGTTCCGGGAGATTTAGAAGCCCTCGAGACTTTTATCTGGACTAGAATTCGTTTGAAGTTTCCCTTCAGTTGCAACCACTTGTGGATCTGGAAGATGGCATCGAGAGGGGGCTTCACGGGTCCACAGATGAGTCCAAATGTGAGCCACATGAGTGTCGGGCACTCCGCGGGCATGAGGATGCCCGGTATGCCGCAGCCTCCCGCGGGTTACCCCCGGAGCATGAGCAACGCCCCCCAGTACCCCCAGGTAAGACCCTGTTCATGACGGTAAAGTCATGTGTGTGTGTGTGTTTTAAGTTTATGGTAGCTTACAATTCTGTAAGGGAGAATAAACCGCTTTAGGGGGGTTTCTAGAAAAATTGCGCTCAACTTTGTAACTGTTCAAATATCACCCGTGGGCGCTACTTCCGCCCGTGAAAAGGCTCCGTTCTTAGTTCCTGCCGTCAGAAAATTGAGTATAACATTTAAATATGTCATTAGTACACGTATATCTCGGTTTGGCTGTTTTTATTGATCGAAAATATCTTAGAGGTAAGTCGACACAAATATGCCCTGTTCAAGTACGAACGAGAAAGTCACGTGGTTGCCCCCGGCCTCTTGTCAGTTAGTGAAAACAAAAGTAAGTTTATCATTAGCACCATCTGCCCGGGGGCAAGCCTCCATACATTATCCCAGGCTTGCCACCATCTGCAGCTTCATGTGGTTGTTTGCTGCTGACATGTGGGTTTTTTGGCAGTTTGAGCCTCCAGACTTCAGACAAGTCATGTTTCTGAAGGAGAGACCAGACTAACCAGGCAACTGGCAGATTCACACATATTGTTTAGGTTCCTGTGGACCACGATTTGGATAACAAACAAGCACTGTTTGGATCACATTAAAGCACAATAAAACAACAGAAAATCTAACTGCTGAAACATTTCTTATGGCTCTCTTGCAACTTCTAAAATGAATAGACTTTTCCAATCACATAAAGTATGTTTCAGTTATCAAAACCATTTACTTGGTTTAACTTATTTGTGGCCTGAAAAAAATCACATGAATTTGTACCTCTGCAGTTATGGGGGCTCACTATAAAAAAAACAATCCTCATTATGTTCCTTGGTTTGTCCCATAATTTATCATGGATTAATTCAATTATGCTTTTTTAAAAGTTAATGGTGGTATGAAATCAAAACCAGTTGGCATTATCAAGTTTCCTTGATAATCAGAATTTCAAAGAAACATATGGGACATAAGTATGTTTACAGAGAGAAGTCATCCGAGAAGGCTTTTATATAAATTGCTCCCAAAGATGGTGTATGTTGGGACAGTAAATCTGTCTGTCAAAGCACCAGCCGAACCTAAGCCTGTCAAAATACACTAGCAGAACAATCAGTGAATATAGGACAACATTGTTGACAATGGGCAGACCTAAAAAGCATCTGTTGTTACCAGCAGATGACAATAAATAATCAGAACAGATAGCTAGGCTGGTCAGAGAAAACCTCTTGATTGTTAACTTGCAAATCACGTATCAAGTATCCAGTAGAGAAGTAATTTTTCTCTCTTCAGGGGAAATAATGGAGAACTCCAGGTGGAAAAAGGCTCCGGAGAGTATTGCTTTCAGGAAATTTCTGTTAACCTGAATTTAAATCACTCTTGTCCCTCCTTTCCTCTAGCGCCTCGGGATGCCACCCAACAGAGTGGGGGGCCCCATGGGGCCAATGGGGGGTCAGCTGCCCGGTCCCTCTTATGGTGGTGGTAACATTGCCATGAGGCCAGGCATGGGACACCCTAACATGGATCCTTCAAGGAAGCGGTTTCTCCATCAGCAGCAACAGCAGCAGGAGGCACTGGGAGGCCTGAGACGAGGGTAACTGTTTGTGAGAGGCCCGAGGAAAATGCTGAGGCTGAGGGGGGGGAAATTAATTCAAAATAGCCTCAGCTTTATGTTCAGCTCAGCCCACACAGACACGAGGATACCAGTATCTCATGACTGGTTTTAGCTTTCATAGCAGCAGACATGAGTGGGTATTTTTATTAATTTAAGTCCTAACATCAAACTGCGCATTGATGCCACACTTCTCAATGTAGCATGCTTGCCCATAATGAGTCTGTTGTGTTGTAAGGTTTATTTTATAACAGAATTCCCAGTAGGAGGAATGCTGAGCCACAGTGCTCAAACCCATCCCAATTTCTCATTAAAGCACCCGGGAATGAATTCATAACTGTATAATTAAATTAAAGAAACAACATGTCTTTTGTGCATTCCCTGACAGCAATAAGTGGAAACCTCAGGAAGACTTTCAGTTGATTTAATAAAGTTAATATTGACCAGGATTGTGCAATTGCACTACGAAGTTGTCGACAAATGATTGATAATCAAATATTGTGTTTCAGTTAATTTTGGATCATGTGTCTGTGTACGTTCCTCACAAATTGGTTGAGTTAGAAATTATGAGACACAACACAGCGGGGCCCTGTTTCAGGCTGTGATATTCTTAGAAATGGGCTTTGCTGTGAATTAGAGACGACCGTTTATGTCTTCAGATCGTGTTGCCTCAGTGCTGTGGATCCTTCATGTCAATGCGTTTTGTGTGTTCTAGACCGAAGAGACGCAAGATGGCCGACAAGGTTCTGCCACAGAGGGTGAGTGAATTCTGTGCCACTGACTCCTTACAGCAGTCTGTTACAGCAGTTTTTCGCTAATCGACAACATTCTGTGGGTCTTTAGATCAGGGATCTGGTTCCAGAGTCTCAGGCCTATATGGACCTCCTGGCCTTTGAGAGGAAACTGGATCAGACCATTGCCCGAAAGCGCATGGAGATTCAGGAGGCCATCAAGAAACCCATTATGGTATGTCTTCCTCCTGAACGCTGGCATACTTTGTATCTACATGAAACAGTTAAGGCATTAAACAGTTTGCACACCAAGTGCATTTGAAACTGTGGATATGTCAGTCTGATGCTGAAACTCCAGCCACTTCTGGAGGTTCAGCGCCAAGCTCTGACATTTTTTAAAACGTCTGTTTATAGCAAATACGGAGTAAAATGAGAGCTCTTTTAAAAGCCACAAAGATTACATACTTGGGTTAGATGTACGTTGAAAGATAATTTTTCCCGTTAAACAGTCAAAAGCACAGTTTTAATGGGATTAAAGAAAAAAACAAAAAATTCAGTTTGAATGAATTTGTTTGGCAGACAGACGTGTGCAGTTGATGCAATTGTTAGCATTTCAAGTACCAAATGCCAACTTTAAAGTTGATAACAATCAAACAAATGGAGCCTTTTTTTTCTCTCAAATGAGGAGTCGGTTCAAAGCAAAGAAGGTGGGTTGTTTTGTTACATTGACTTCTTGGAAATGTTCGTATGCACACCAGGCCTGTAAGAACCAAGTCTCAACATGGTGACCCTTACTCTATTTATGGACACCAAGACTTTACGAAACAACCCCAAACGGCTGAACACAGCTGACAAAGAAGGAAACCATTCCTTGATGGATGTCTCTGTATAGCTCAACCTAAAATATGCCTTTCCTTGTTTCTTCTTATCACGCAGCAAAAGCGCAAGCTGAGGATCTACATTTCCAACACTTACACTCCCAGCAAGCCTGAGGGAGAGGAGGCAGAGAAAGTGTCCTCTTGGGAGCTGAGAGTGGAAGGAAAACTCTTGGAGGAAGTAAGTGAATAACTCGGCATTCACGTTCTGACGTTTTTCAGTTTCAGAGTCTGAAAATTTAGGTTGGCCTCTGTCCTTGGCTCCGACCATTCAGCCAGATGGGTGTTTACAGCTTTCCCCATCTCACTGCACAACTTCTAACACGCACACACACACACACGCACACACAGCTGAAATGCAGAATTGAAACCACTGGCCGTTTCATACCACGAGCTGACATGCCTCCCCTCCCTCCATCAATTCCAGCTCAACATGTTGTGTCATCTGGGGCCAGAGGAGAGGCACTTTTTTCTGTTAATGTTTCTCCTCTTGCTCATTGGTTCAGGCGAGCGTAGGAGCACTGCATGGAGTAACAGAGAAAGAAAAGGGCTGTCGAGGAAGGAGTGAAAGGGGTCACGTTGAGCAAACAGACTTTGACAGAGCAATGTAGAGGGTGGGGGTGCAACAGCTTTTTCTACTCAACAGTTTGGTTCCTAACCCCCAATGTGGTCAGAGCTAAACAATGCAGCTGCAGACTGACACCACACAGTAAGAAAGCACTTATGGGAATCTTTCCCTGCCGTCTTCTCACATGCTTTCCTGCTCTCTGTGTTTGCAGCCCGGCAAGCAGAAGAGGAAGTTCTCATCCTTTTTCAAAAGCCTTGTGATTGAGCTCGATAAGGAGCTGTACGGACCGGACAATCACTTAGTGGAGGTACGACATGATAAAGCTACGGATGCAACCGCCTCAAAGCTGGAAACGTAGTGACTAAAAACATTTAGATAGAAGCTGCTTCTGCAGCCAGAGTCAACTTTTCTCATTCCACAGTTTAAATCTGGATACAATTATTTTCCGCCGTGTTCTTTCATATTTTTGAATGTAACAAAGCAAAAAGTCGGCCCCACTGCTCAATGCAGCATTAACTGCAATAGATGCTCAAGGGCTGCAAGAGTTAATGAAACTGGGGCCATTTAGTTTGATCTATTTACTAATGGATGCATAATGCAAGTAAGCGCGCGCATAAAATCTGTTTTTATTTTTATTTTAGTGTCAATTAGCCTTTGTAGGACCGAATTAAAAGACCAGCTCAGACTGATTTCTGTACTTTCTTTTTAATGTTCCAGTGGCACAGAATGCCTACCACTCAAGAAACGGATGGTTTCCAGGTCAAAAGGCCGGGGGATGTGAATGTTAAGTGCACTCTTCTGCTTATGCTCGACCACCAGGTAAAGCCTACTCTGTGTTATCTTCTCAAACCTATTTGTTCTCCCAAATTTGAGATTCTTACTTTTGCTTTGTCCCTGTGTTTCTTACTTTTTGCTGCTCCCCCTTTCAGCCCCCTCAGTACAAACTGGACCCACGCTTAGCTCGTCTCCTGGGTGTGCACACACAGACTCGAGCCAGCATCATGCAAGCTCTCTGGCTCTACATCAAGAACAACAAGCTGCAGGATGGCCACGAGAAGGAGTACATCAACTGCAACCGCTATTTTAGACAGGTCATTTGTGTGTTTGAAACAAAAAGAAAGCTGTTACCCTTTGGGTGTCCAACTTGCTTTGTTTTTCTAACCAAATGCTGCTCAGATCTTCGCCTGTACCCGCATGAGGTTTTCTGAGATTCCCATGAAGCTGGCAGGCCTGCTGCAGCACCCTGACCCCATTATCATCAATCACATTATCAGGTCTGGGATGTGGTTCTGATTGCTCTGTCACAACTTTTAATTCTCTTCATTAATGATAGATGACACATCCAGTTCAGCAGCATCCAGCATCTCATCCTTCTTGTGTTTTCTTCAAACAGCGTGGACCCCACAGATCAGAAGAAGACGGCTTGTTACGATATTGACGTGGAGGTGGACGACCCTCTGAAGGGCCAGATGAACAGCTTCCTGTCCTCCACCACCAACCAACAGGAAATAGCTGCTCTTGAGATGAAGGTCGGGCCTTAAATGGCAGTGATCTTAAACTCTTTTTCAAATATTACTGTCAAATAATCTTCTCTTTGTCCCCCCCCCCCACTTCAGATTCATGAAACAATTGAGTACATTAACCAGTTGAAGACGGAGAGAGACTTCATGCTGAGCTTCAGCAATAATCCACAGGAGTTCATCCAGGACTGGTTAAAGTCTCAGTGCAGAGATCTGAAGGTAAATGTCTGCTTCTGCAGCTCGTATGTGAAAAAAACGGTCTATTTAGAAAATCAACACAAATCTACAAGAAATTAAGAAGTTTAGATAGAGACATGTTTACCACTGCTGGGTTAAGATTCCAGCTGCTCAACAGTATATCCTCACTATTGTGATTCTCCCCATCATAGAGATATGATACGCACACATGGTTATACTAAACCCAGACACCCACACCCATCACCAATTAATCTTCCAAAGAGACTTTTCTGTATTTGTTTTTCTAAAACCCATCAAGACAGCTGTTTTTTGTGCTGATCATATTGTTGTTTCATTTATCCTCTTTTTTTGTTTTTTAAAACTTTTTTGGGGGTAAGTTACTGGCTTGTAGTAAGTGATGTCACTGAAAAATACAAAATAAAAATGTCTGTCTCAAAGCTCATGTCGTGTATCTTGACATCGGGTGATGGAACTGTCCCCACCAGTGAAGAAAGGGGATTATTCTGTTCAGTGATGCATTTATTTCTCAACAGCTGATGACGGATGTGAGCGGAAACCCGGAGGAGGAGAGGAAAGCTGAGTTCTATCAGGCTCCCTGGGTGCCAGAGGCAGTGGGCCGATACGTTTACTCCAAAGTGAGTCCCAATAGGGTTGAGCCACTGCACGGTAGAAATGTTTAGTTTCAGGTCTTTGCTATTTGAGTTTGATTGTATTTAATGCACACTCTCACCACTTTTTCTATGTTACAGGTGCAGCAGAGGAGACAGGAGCTGGAGCAAGTGCTGGGTATCCGACTCACCTAAAGATGTATTCTGATGGGGTCACAGCCAGTTTTGTTTACTTCTCAAAGATTACCGACTGAACTGGAAAGAAACGAGCTAATACTGCAGTTGAAATAATCACAAAGCCATCATCACATTCTGATTTTATTCTTTTTATGGGACCAAAGTGATGATTTCCTTGTTCTTGATAAAATGTTTGCCATTCTTTGCCTGCCATTTTGAGCCTATTTGAATGATTGTTGCCTTGTTTTGCTTGTTCTTTTTTTGTCTTTAATGGTACAAGTAGCTGAATTCTGTCAAGCTGTGGTGCTTTTAAGGTGTTTCCACCATCCAGCTGTGTGCTGTTTTCTAATGTTCTCTATTTGCTTTCATTTTTACAAGCCATAACTTTCATATAAGGACAGGGATTAGTGTGTTGGTGAAAAGTATGATAGATTGTGAATTTTATCCCACATCTATGTATATCTTTATACAATCAGACATTTAAACTAAGAATTTTACTTATTTAAAATTGAAATTGAAATAATTTTATAAGAATAATTTTACAATATTAGGTGTTGGTTTTGTTTAGTGGGGGGACTTTACCAGTTGATGTAAATATTTGCTATATCAGAGAGAAGAAATGCTTTCGATACCTTCTGTCTTTCAAAAGATTGAATTCCTCTATACACAAACCACTATCCAGCTGTTCTCAATCAGCTCTTTTTTATACTTGTTGAATGTTTACATGCTATTTTAATATACTATTGGTCTGTTTCTTTGTTTTAACACCAGGAAGAGGAACAATAATTTTGTTGTGGAATGAGGAGATTCATGCCTTCAGGCAGATTAATTGAGATTGATGGATCAATATGAATGCAGCTGAAGTGTCAAAGTACCAGAGAAAATGCTGTAAAGAATTTAAATTGAAGTGCTCTTTTAGTAAGCTTTTGTTTGACAAGGTTGCGAAACATTCCTTATTCATTTGCTAAAACTTGTTTTGTGAAGATGAATATGAAAAATGTTGTGTACAAGTATTTTTATACAACTTTTTGTAAGATGTTTGCATGTTGTTTATTGTTCAAAAGCCTTTATCTTTTTTACATCTGATTTTTTTTTTTTTTTACAATAAATGTACTTACAACCATTTATCATACTATGCTTTAATACAGACAAAATTACAACTGTGAATCAACTTTGAATTGAATATGCTCCTTTGTTTCGATTGCGGTGGGGTTTTGCCCAGCTTCTGCTGTTCCCAGAGGTGCTGTGCATGTTTCGGCTGGTCACGGATGACGTTGTTTCAACAGGTCTGTCTGGATTTACTGAATACACCACTCCTCAAATACAAACTAAGTCAAACAGCAGTGGAAAAACGACGGGCACGGACAATATTTTACATTATGATGTGTGTGCAAACATTGGGTCTATAAATCTTGGAACATGCATGCTTTGCAGAAACCCTTTTACATTTAGTAAATATAAAAACTTTGCCACGATGCTGAAGCTTTGGGTGGGAAACTAAGTAAACCCTTCTGCTGTCATTGGAATTAACAGGATCATCTCACCAGTGTTTGTATCTCACTAAAACTGATTGTTGGCATTTAGTAGGTCTGAAGCATTCACACTGTCGATGACAAGGGGAATGTAGGGGGCGATGTTTGCTTAGAAACTTGAAAATGAACTCAAAGATTGCCACCGGAAACGTGTATGTTCTGAAACGGATGCAGAAATTTCAAGATGGAGGTGGACGGTGTTGATCATGTAGGTGTATTTCCTTCAGTTTTGTAGTCTTTTTTTCTATGGTCTTAGAAGCAAAGGAAGGTTTTGATGTTGTCCAGTGGAAATAGCGATTGTAAAGCAGTTGTAAGCCGGAACGGGTCAGCCCTTGTGGTTAAACTTAATGCGTGATACTTAATCCACAACAATGAATGTGTTGAGTGCTGCCGGTTTGCTGTCTCATTGTAGCTAACCTAGCTAAGAAGCTAACTATCTCTGTCAAGTACACATACAGTTCAGCTGGCTCTAGCTAATTTTAATACCCGGGTGGTGGCTTATTTTCCATTGCTGTCCGTCTGTTTTTATTTTCACCGTAACAATCTTTGATGTTTTTACGGCGATTTTCCTATTTTTGGGAAGTTACCGAGCGTTACTGGTGTCTTAGCTAATGCTAACTGACGGAAACCATCGCTAAAGTGATGATAGCCTTATTTCTGAGAAGAAAACACTAAAACATGGGTTCGGAGCAAAATCTATCTCTGACGCTTTAGAGTTTATTAACCGACGAATGCTCCATTTGTTTGTTGTTTTTTTAACCTGAAACAAATGTGATAATGGTGTTTGATCGAAAATGGTTTTATTAAAAGATGTTTCTATGTTAAAAAAAAAGGTAGTTCAGGAATAAACAATACACACACAGTTTATGATTTAATTCCCCCAATGGCAGTTTAACTAATAAGTGATACAAGTGAATGTTTGTGGCAGGCTTGGCTGAAACCTAATACTTGCATTTAAGAAAAACTCAAATTCAACATCAATATTTTGTGAATGTCATCTTAATTTGCCTGTGAGTAATTGGCTGAGTTTCCTTTAATAGATGGAGATGGGGGAGAGTAAAGGTGGAACCGGCCTCCGCCAGTATTACTTGTCAAAAATAGAGGAGTTGCAGGTGAGGAATCAAGATAAATGCCATTATGACACAGATTGTGTTTCTCTGCCTAATTAATTAAAATTTACTTTTTATTCCCCTTCTTTGTAACAGTTGACAGTGAATGAAAAGGGCCAGAATCTCAGACGTCTGCAGGCACAGAGAAATGAGCTCAATGCTAAAGGTATAGTGTTTGTGCTCTTAATGTTCTCTTCCCTTCTGTTGGCAAACCTGAATAAAAACTGTCAAGTTGTTCTTTTGTCGCTCAGTGCGTCTCCTCCGGGAGGAGCTGCAGCTGCTGCAGGAGCAGGGATCTTATGTGGGAGAGGTGGTGAGGGTTATGGACAAAAAGAAGGTGCTGGTTAAGGTACGTTGTAGTGACGCACTGTTCAACATGCTAGTTTGGTATGTCCCGGTGTTTGGATTAAGTTGCTTCACTATCAATATAGGTGCACCCAGAGGGAAAGTTTGTTGTGGATGTGGATAAGAACATCGATATTAATGACGTAAGTATTTTTATTTACTACAATAACGGTTTAAGCAGGAGACAGAATTGTTTAGGAATGCTCCTTTTTCTGAATTAGGTGACTCCAAATTGCCGCGTGGCTCTACGCAACGACAGCTACACCCTGCATAAGATCCTGCCCAACAAGGTGGACCCCCTGGTATCCCTCATGATGGTGGAGAAGGTGCCCGACTCCACATACGAAATGATCGGTGGTCTGGATAAGCAGATCAAGGAGATCAAAGAAGTGATTGAGCTGCCCGTCAAACACCCGGAGCTTTTTGAGGCTTTGGGAATAGCACAGCCGAAGGTGGGTGATTTCAGACAATTCCTGAACTGTAAAGTCTTTAAACTCCACAGCAAAAATACAGCTGCCAGTTTTTTTACAATGCAGAGGATACCACATTTAACTTTGGTTATTATCTCATTCTTTGGCCACAGCATGTCACACGATTGTGTTTTCCTTTTTGCTGGCAGGGTGTGCTGCTCTACGGTCCACCAGGCACAGGGAAGACCTTGTTGGCTAGAGCCGTGGCCCATCACACTGACTGTACCTTCATCAGGGTGTCCGGCTCTGAACTGGTGCAGAAATTCATCGGAGAGGGTGAGTTTTTTGTGGCTGTTTTTAATTAGATTGCGTCACAGCTCTGGCTGTGAAACCTCAACGTCTCCTTGTGGTGCCTCAGGCGCTCGTATGGTGCGCGAGCTGTTCGTCATGGCGAGAGAGCACGCTCCCTCCATCATCTTCATGGACGAGATCGACTCCATCGGGTCCTCTCGTCTGGAAGGCGGCTCGGGCGGGGACAGCGAGGTGCAGAGGACAATGCTGGAGCTGCTCAATCAGCTGGACGGCTTCGAGGCAACAAAAAACATTAAGGTATCCCAGATGTTTGTTTGGTTTACAACACTGAAGAAAACCTTAGTGGCTAGTTCAGAAGTTTACCAAAGTACACTCTGCCAGTGTCATCTGTTCTTTTGTAAATCATGATCAAACTGTTTTAATGAAATGCACAGGAACATAAACTTGTTTTAACCCCACAGTTTATTTGTTTCTATTTATTTACCTGTTACGTCACATACTTTACAGTTCAAGCTGCCCATGACTGTTTAGAAAATACACATGCGCTGCTTTTTTCTGCAGGTCATCATGGCCACCAATCGTATCGACATCTTGGACTCAGCTCTGCTCAGACCAGGAAGGATTGACAGGAAGATCGAGTTCCCCCCTCCCAATGAAGAGGTCATAAATCACTGCATCATGCTTGCTACTCTAAACTAATTACTACACATTCCTAAATCTGTCTGATAATCCACTTTAATGGGTGTATAACTGTGTGCCAACAGGCCCGTCTGGACATCCTGAAGATCCATTCCAGGAAGATGAACCTGACGCGTGGCATTAATCTGAGAAAGATCGCAGAGCTGATGCCTGGAGCCTCTGGAGCTGAGGTTAAGGTGAGACTTGGTCGATTAAATGGAAGCTTTCAGGTATAAGGTAGTGGTGCGCCTAATTGAAATGAGCTGATTTTTGTCTGACAGGGAGTCTGCACAGAGGCAGGGATGTATGCGCTGAGAGAAAGGAGAGTTCACGTCACCCAGGAGGACTTTGAGATGGCTGTGGCAAAGGTCAGTTGAAAGTATTGAAGGAAAAAAAAGAAAAACAATCCCGGTATAGTCTTTGATGTCATGCTGTTTTCCTGTTCGTTAACACGTCTTTGTTCTTCTTACCAGGTCATGCAAAAGGACAGTGAGAAGAACATGTCTATCAAGAAACTGTGGAAGTAAAAGGCCTTGCGTGTTCTTTAACACGATACAACCACATCTGTATATTTTCCTTTTCTTTGTGTATGGTTTGTAATTGTTGCATAACTAAAATCAATAATTAAATGGTTCCCCTAATCTTTTCTGGCTCTTTATTTCTGAATTCATTTCTCTACAGACTTGAGCTAAAGTTGTACACAGAGGAAATTCAGAATGGCACTTCACGTTAGTGTCAGCGATCAGAGCAGATTTAACACCGGCTTGCTTTCGAAAACCTGCCTCTGTCAGAGTCGTAGAACCTACCATTTCAGTTCTGTATCTGTGGGCCACTCTCACTCGGTCTACAACAGGCTTTGACGTTTCTCTTGATGGTAATGTTTTTAGGATGGCGAACACGTGCAATGGCTACACAGCACACCCAGCGGTTTGTCCTCGTACGGTAGGCCCGTTTGTTCTGCCCCCCCGACGGGAGGCTCGGCGGGCTAGCGCCTCACCCAGCATGTAGGCACCCACTGTGGCTCTGTCTGTACGCTCTCCAGTACCATCTGCAGCTCTGCTAAGGCACTGACTGGGTCCTCCTTCAGCAGGACGTAGTCCACCCAATGGCCGTAGCTCTCGTCCATCCGCTCCGCCGACTGCTGCATTTCATGAAGATCGTCCTCCTTATGAGATCAGAGGGGGGGCAGTGAGTGGAGTGTTCGGTGAAGCAGAGATGCAGAGATGGCGGACGGGTAAAGCTTTGTGTGGTTATTGTCATGTGACTCACAGTGATTCCAACGCTGAGTGAGGAGGAGGAGCCAAACTGCTTTCTGTGCCCATCAACGATGCGAGGCCTCACGAAGATGATAAACGGCTTGAAGTCGGCCGTCCGAAGAGTCTTCAGAGCCTGGGTGATAAGGTAGCTTTCATTACACCACCCAGCAACAACAAACACACAAATGCTGTGCAGCTGTCAACACACAAGCTTCTGATAAACTAGTTTCATGGATTAGAAATTTCTTTCAAGCAACTAATGTGAGCGTGTAAAAGTCAATACATCCAAGATGGAACCTTCTTAAAAATCTCTATCTTTCCACGAAAACAGCCCTGACTACAGATGTAAGAGCCGAATCACATTCAATGGAAACAAAATAATGCACTGGACTGGCCGTGTTCATGCCCGTTACCTACCTCTGGCTGCACGTCCACTAGACAGACTTGGTTTTGATTCAAAACAATGTGAATGGACTCCAAACTGGTGCCGTACAGATTCTCCTTATACTCCCCGTATTCAATGAACCTGCATAAACACAGCAGCACTGTTACCGATCCAAAGGGGTTAATCTGTACACGCCAAACGGTGGACAAACGTTTTTGAAACTCCAGGTAAACTGATGTAAAGTCATCTTTGGTCACCTCACTTGGTTTTAACACTCACTTGCCATTCTGGATGTCAGCCTCGAAAGCGGCTTTACTGATAAAGTGGTACTCCACTCCCTCTCGTTCATGACTCTTCCTAGCTCGGGTGGTGTCTTCAGTGGAGGTGGATGAGGGGAGGCAGGAAGAGGAGGTGGACAAAAAGATGCTTTGAGTGAATGTTTCTGACTGCAACTGATAGTGACTTTAAAGTAAAAAGTGAATCTCCTGTGAATGCGATGAGGGCCTGCCAGTGTTTTTATTGGAAAACGAGCCAAAAAAAGACTTACGAGGCACAGCCAAACCGTACCGTCGAGGATTCTCAGCGATCACCTTCTGTTTGAGCTCAGTGATGCGGGCGCCTAACGACCCTGCAAACACACCAATTACCAGAGCCAACCGTTATGTAAGCTGGACACATTGTCCTGCCTTCTGTGGTAGGAACGGCTGGTGCCGTCTCAGAGCACACACACACACACACACGCACACACACCTATGAGTGCGATGAGGCGGGGCCTCTCGCCAGGGCGCGGCAAATACTGTGTGACTTCTTCGTAAATCAGGAACTCCGTTTGATTGCCTTCTGCCTCTGCGGACGCACCCTGGCGGTCTTTCCTGAGGCGGAAACTTCTGCGTAGGCTGGCTGTGGTTGAGACATGTCCAAAAATAATAATAAATAAAAATCAATGTTAAGCTTATTTGACAAAAAATATGGATTATGGCACTTCATGAATACACAAACGGCCACTTTGACACCTTTTTAAGAAAGAAAGTTTATAGACGAACACACTACCAATAGAATAAATTCAAATAAGAACCCACCTTCTGCCTGACTAAAAAAAACAAAAACAAAACATCACAACACAGTCACTGAACAACACCGTTAGAAACCAGTAAGGGTACCTGAATAAAAATCCCATGAGAAAGCATGGCCACAGAAGGCAGGGGCTGTCTTACTCTTAGGAGAAACTACAGCTCAAATTAGACCATTTATTCAACTGGCTTAAATCTGCGAAAAAAACAGCGAAAGCTTTGAAGCCATGCATGCTGCGTCTGCATTCAGGTTGAAACACAAAGAGAGCACAGTTGGCATGTAGGACAGGCCACTTGTGATCCACAATGAGAAGCCACAAAGACACTGGAAAGCTTAGAGGCTGCCACCGTTTAGGGAACAAAAAGCCTGCTGATCTCATATTTTAACAGGATCCTGTTTTGTTAAAATATGTTCGAAGAATTCCCGATTATGATTCAAAACTGAAAAGAAATGAGCCACAGTGGCTTGTTACAGCATCATCTCCCCAACTTTGTTTTTCTTTCATTCTTTTCGCTTTGTGATAAACAAACAATATACGCAAAAGATGAAAAAAAGCCAGTGATATCAAAACAAACAAAAAAAAGATGTGAACAGAGACCTTTTTTTTTTTTTTAAGTTTCACATGCCAGCAGAAAGGCCCCACAATCTGCACCACCAATCATCAAGAGGCTTTAAAGACAAGTTAGGGAAAAAGGTGTAGCAGTCCATTTACTGATAAAGCAGCAAATACCAACGCTTTAGAGATACAGTCCAGTTCAACCCAATTTGAATCCAATTGATTGTAACTATATTAATGTAATCGTCTTTTTTCTTACAGGATCAGGAGAGAGACCTCGACATCCCTCTCTGTAGCAACACTCTCCAGCTCCTCCTTGGGGAACCTGAGGTGTTCGCAGACCAGGGGGTATATACAGTTACTTACATTTTATTTCTGGGTCTACTCTGGGGTCTTCTCACAATGGGGAGGAGCGAGAAAACATTTAAAATATAAACAACTCCTGCCCAGATACCCAAACCACTTTGGCTGACTACACTCTACTGAGAAGTCCCTCTGGAGGCTAAGCTCCTCACTCTCTCTCTACTCAAGTGTGTCTGAGATCGGCCAGTGGCCACCTTCTTAGGGAAACCCAATTCAAACTCTGGTATCCTTGATCACAGGCCAGTAGAAAACAGATGCAAAAAAAATAAAATAACACAATACAGCCCGAGCACAAACCACCCTGCTCCTCCTCAATCCGACAATTGGCCAGAGCCTCCTCTCCAAAACCTTGAGGTAAACCTTTCTGGGGGACATCGACTAGTGTGATTCTCTGTAGCTGAAACATGTTCTCTGGTTCCCCTTCTCAAAGATGGGGACCCCCACCTCAGTTTGCCACTGTGCAGGTGTCATTCCAGACCTGTATGTGACATCGAGTGTCAGTATCTTTTTCCAGGAGTCCCCAAAAACTCAGACTCTGCGTCTTCTATGGACACACATCCCAACGTTATGGAAAAGCAGGACAATGACTGGACTGGCAAATAAATGTTTCATGTTTAAATACTTAGATACCACGCCTCCCCCCACAAATTTTTAGGGGCTTTTCCACACACTGATGATTATACAGCTGTACTGTACAATGGTGGGAAAAACTGAGCCGATAAAACCAACACCACAGAGTCATGTGCTCAAAGGTTCTGTAAGTCTGATTTTAGTTCATTTGAAGTTTTTCTTTGTGAGGATAAATTATTTTACAATGAATTCTTAAACCAAAACAAGTGTACAAGACAAAAACAAAACACATGAGTGCAGTCATGTAAAGTCATTCTGACTTAAAGTTCTGTAAATAAAAAACAACAAGCTGCAATATGCAGAAGAGTAACACCAGCTGTGGAGTTCAGGAACAGTTTTATCAGCCCAAAATGAATAAAGCTGCACAAATCAACCCCTCAAGTGCAGCCTGGCCTCTAAAAGAAAGCACAAATTAGCACACAGACGCAACAAACATGGGATGCTGCAGCAGTTAGTAGAAAGTCAGCAGTGCTTCCTCACCTACATCCTTTCCATTCAGAGCACCTTTACTGTCACAGTCTTCTGTGGGAGGGAGAACAGGAGGGTAAGAGGAGGGAGGACGCCTTCAGGGGACACAGGTTACAGTTTGGGGGTGTGTGGTACAACGCTCAAAAATATGTCCAATGTCCAAAAATAATCACAACGCCGCAGACACATGAACGGAATCAGGTGCCGTGATTTGGGAGGTTTAAGTGTGCGGAAAACAAATGAATAAATACAATTGGAAAAAGTCTAACATGAAGCATGATGATGGTAGCCCTGAGGTCAAAACACAAAACAGAAAGATTGAAAAACAATTATCCATCCATTATCTTTACCTCCTATTTTTAGGAGGGGGGGGGGGGCTATCCCAATGCAAAACCAAAAGCAAAAACACAAAATATAAAATCCTTTTCAGGAGATACCTGAAAAAGAAATAACTTTTTAACATCTGTTTTTACATAAATATGTAATTTTATGTTTTGAAATATCTATTTTTGTACAAAGTGTCATCATTCTGTTTTGCTGTGAAACCTCAGGGCCCCCTGCTTTGTGTAGGAATGAGATATGTTTTCTGAAATCAGACTTCATCTACATACCTTTGTCAGTCCAATCATCTAAAGTTAGCAATGCAAGAATAACACATAGAATCACAGTGGAGTCTAATGCACGGGCTGGCTTTTAGCTCACTAACACAAAGTACAAACTCCAACATTGTCTTAAAAGTGTCCGTATTAAAACCTGGTACAGGTACAAATTCTTATACATCATATCTGCATTTCTGCAAGATATCTGGGGAGGATTATCGATTCTATGTCTTACTAAACATGCCATGCTCTTCTAAATATACATTTTCATCAGGAGTTTAATTTGAATGTAATTAAAACAAGAAAAGATCTGCCTAAGTTTCCATTTAATTGGATTAACAATTCTTTTCAGTGATTAAACTAATCTCTTTTTATAATCCATCTATCCCCTTGTATAATTTTAAATTGAGCATGTTGTACATTTGGTGTTAAATGTAATTGGAGACAATGAAGTTAAATCATTCTTACATGTATGAGCTTTGGGAGACACAGGAGCAGGGAGGGAACCCACTTTCAGTCTGTATCTCAGGCGTCTGGAAAGGAAACACAAATTGAAAAAAAAGGTATTTTTGGACGGAAAGGCCAAAAGCCTCCCGCACAGATGTGTTCAGCACCTTCTGATGAAGGTTTACCTCTCCTGAAACTGCGTGGAGGGGATGAGGGCGGCACGCAGATTACAGTCGCCCACCCTCTTGGCCTGCCACCAGGTGGAGTCCTCCTGGCTGACCACCTGAAGAATGTCTCCTCGCTTAAATGGAAGGCCAGCTTCTTGACAGGGCGTGGCTCTGTCCTCATAAGGTGTGTAGTCAAACAGAGCCCGGAGGTAGACCTTTAGGGGGCACAAACATTGGGATCGTTTCTCTGAGCGGCCTGTGCCAAGCTAACCTGCTGTAAGCACATTTGACAGCAATACTAACAATCTTCTACCACTTTCTCACGGTAAATAATAGTTAAAAAAAGAGTCCTCACCCTGCTCTCCTTTAGTTTGTCTTCCTCTGCAACAGCTGGGATGATTTTCAGTGTTATGGAGCCTTGGGACTGTGACTGATTGCAACACAGAGCAGATCAGCTCACACCCCCAAACAACGCCAATTCAGAGCAACTCAACTTGCATGATGCCTCATAGAAAAGTGTTTTCTCGTTACCAGGATCTGACTAATCTCATCCGGCCTTTTGTGAGTTATCAGGTTTCCATTGACCTCCCGAAGCTCATCGCCTACATGCACCAGACCTGGAAACACAGCACACACATAACTGCTGGCACAAGAGGCCGAATTGGTTCAGACATAAACTATATATTTAAAAAGAAAAAAAAAAACAGAAAAAAAAAAGCAATTTCCCGTCGGCACAAAGTCAACAATATCCTCATGGCAACCAGTTTGAGTAAACATTGTTTGTAATCTCAAAATATGCAATCTCGTGGCACTAATCTGGAGGATTTCATGTCTGGTGACAGTTCAATGGGTCACACAGTGTAATCCCCTCACTTCTGTGTCCAACTTACAGCGCTGAACAGATTCAACATTCAACATATAGGAGGATGTAAATATACAGGATTACCCACTTGTGGCCCCTGAGCTCTTGACAGTTCATTTCTTTCCTTGGCATAATCAAAATTCCTTAAGTCATAATGCTGATGTCCAGCACTCACCACTGCGGTCAGCGGCCCCCCCCTTCATGATTCTGGCCACGATCACAGCCCCCGTGGCCTCGTCTCTGCGAATAGTTGCTCCCTGTTGTTGATCACAGTTAAATCGGCCGGAATTAAAATTTGCAGCTGAAAGCCAGAAACTGAGCTGGCTTTTAGCATTTGAAAAATAAAAAAAAACCTTTCTGCTCTTAATAAAAGCACTTCATTTCTGAATCCTTTTGACAGAGCGACTAATTCTAGCATGGATTTCTTTTTTTTTCCCTTCTGAAAGTGGAGGATCCTTCAGAGACAGGGGGTTGTTGTCATCAGCTCAGCTATTTGGAAACTTACCAGTGGCTCCTTGTTCTTAACCAGGCGCACGATCTTCACCGACTCCTCCTCCAGGTCATTGTCCAGGTCTTCTGGCAGCGGCGGAAGCACGGGGTCAAATTTCTTTTGGGCCACGATGTCATGAGCCGACAGCACAGCCTGAGCAGGAGAAGTACGCAAAACACAAAACACACACACACACACACACACACACGTGAGGCTTGTGTCACAGCAGGCTGTGGACAGCGCTAAAATCCAGAAAAGTGTGAGAAACAACAGACAAATGGGGAACAAAATTCTACAAATGAGCATTCCAGTTTTAATCATTTCCCCCAAAAGCCCCACAAAAAAAACCAAAACCCCATTAACCTGAACATAATCAGCTGTTCAGGGAAAAACTGGCTGACTTTGTCTGCTTTCATTGGCCGGGAGAGCAGCTCTAATGCCGGTGTTACGTAACCAGTGATCAAGTGGAGGAAAAGTGGAGCAGTTCAGGGTGGAAGTAATGAGAGGCAGTGTCATCAAAGAGATCAAACCCTCAGAGGGGCCTACAGGAGAGAGCCAGGGCTCAGCATCCACCGGCATGTGGGGAAAGACTCGCTGTGTGTGCACGCACCTTCAAGTGAGGAGTGCTCAGCAGGAGGAGGAGCTCTCGCTCGTCTTCCTCCAGAAGTCCGTTCTGAAGCTCCTCTGCCAGCTGGGGTGACAGAACCAGAGGTACCGATTACAACGTTTCACTGAATTATTTCTGGGTGAACATGGGGATGTGTTGCTGAGTGGGTGTGGCATGTGACAGCACCTACGTCCTCTGCCAGACAGGAGGCGCTGTGCAGAACCGGAGTGGGGCTGTACTTCTCATACTGCTTCAGTTTCTCATGGATCTGAGACGGTCATAGGGGTTTGCAGCAGAAAGAGATAAATACAGGAGGCTGTAGCTAACAGATATTCCATTCTTCCTTTTTTTCAGAACTCCTCTGGATGTAATCTAACACAATGAATGAAGCCTGAATCATGACATAAGGATTTTTCAATATTCTTTTTACACCCAACCTCCTTTCAACTTGCTTCTATTATCTATTTCATTTAAAGTTTACACTATGCTTTAATATTTACCATGTACTGTTAATGCACAGGCATGCCAAGATTCAAAAGACCAACAATGCGCTCATCACACAACATGTACTACACAAAAGCAAAAGAAAAACCACAGCAGCCACTCCCGCGTCATCTCTTGTGCACCTTCATGAGATAACTAATGCTCTTCTCACTGAAGACATCCCTGAGAAAGAGCAGGTCGTCTTTGTGGTTGGCGTCGGGGTGGAGCTGCGAGGTGAGCAGCGCCAGAGTCTCGTGCAGCCCTGTGGAGAGTTACCCGCAGCAATGGGCCCACATTGATGCAATGTGTTAGCTAAAACAAAAAAGCATCAGGGAGCATGAGCAAGTAGCGGCAGCAGATGTTTGGGTCTACCTGCGCTCGCCGACATGATGGGCACGGCTTCAATCATTCAGCGGATGAGGAGCAGATGGAGGAAATGGGGATGAGGCAAAAAGGGGAGCGATTCGCCCAAGTCCCCTTTTTCTTCCCCTCTTCAGGTATGGATGAGGCTGATGATCTCAGCTGAGAACTAAAAAGAAAAACAAAGTGACAGCAGATTTGGGACGTCTGTTGGATCAGCTCAGAGGAAAAGATGACACAGCATAGCTAATAAGTAGTGGAACTTCAAGGATTATTTTGAGTTGCATTGAAAAAATAATTCATGCCCAAAAATAACAGATAGTTAACCATGCTATTTGAAAGAATGGAGCAGCTCATGATTTCTCCTGTAAATGCGGGTATGAAAGGGGCTCCTTTAGGCATTGTTTTGACAGTGTTTAATTGACTCATTACGGCTGAATGAATGGCTGCTCTCACTGCTGATGCACACTTTCATTCCATTTTTAAATACCGCCCTAGAGAAAAGTGAGGTCAGATGATACAGGCCACTGTTGTCCAGTATGATACTTCACTTTGCACTCACTGTAATCACTATGGCAACGCTATGGTACTAACAATCACACTTAAAAAAAGCCTCGTCACAGTATCCTGTTTCAGACGATTAGTTCTGCCTCATGTAAGGCCAGCGGTTTGGGTATGGTGTCAACATAAGACTCCCAGTCATCAATCCCTGCTGGGGATTAACTTCAAGGCTCTCAGCTCATCCTCAAACAACTTTTGTCACCAGTGAAATAAGTGCTTCAAAGCTCCATTCCAGTAAAAACAAACAAAATCAAAGCTGACTCCTTCAAACCCAGTTTTTCATTTTTCAGGTCCAATCAGCCTTGTAGTTTGTTATGTTATAAAAACAGCAGAATACATGGAGTGTCAATGTTTTTGGAAATTAAATCTTTGAGATTTGAACCTGCTTTAGTTTGTGTACTTCAGCACATTCACTTGTGCGGTCTTTGACCCAGAGATGTGCTCTTTGTGCTGTCTGTGTGGAATCCTGTCCCCGGTCTTTTCTGGAGATGCTATCATTTTCTAGGCGCTCACAGTCTTCGATCTAGCCTTTGGAAATGCAGTTCAGTCACTTTGATCGGATCAGGTAAATCATGTTTGTGCCGCAATTCTGCCAATTTCATCTCTTAATTTTTCAGCACAGTACAGTATGGTCTGCTCTGTTTCGGAGGGTTTCCAGGGTCCGCTCACGCTCCGTTTATGGGATCATCAATCATACAACATGCTGCACATTCCTGAATTATTTCTGATAGATTTATTAATCTTCCTCTACCCTTTTTTGTTTGGCTTTTTGCCAATACCTAGGTTTCCTTTTAGAGTTAAATAATATTCCATGTTTTGATGGATATCTACAATAGCATTATTGGGCATTGTCTGGTAAAAGTACTCCGAACTAGTTTCACACATGTAAACCATAAACTACTAAAGAGATTTTGCACTGTATCCATCATTTAAGAACAAAAGATTGTAACTCTCCAAACTCCACAGCTGCCAGTGTTTCTCATTACCTTCAATTTTCTAAACAGTCCCTGTGGAACACATCAGGTGAAGCAGTTATACTTCTACAGCCCACTCACTATTCCTTCTTTAACCTCATAAGAGCTCGTGGAGCTGCTTGCGGTGTGGGTGGGAGGCTAAAACATTATTTAAAAATGCAAACGTGTATCTGTGGGTGGGTCGCATAAGGATCCAGGTGAGTACACAGACAGCGTTTACACTGAGCAGTCCTCTCGTTAATATGCCAAAAGCAGATGCAGTGTTTGCAGCTGGTTTGCCGTTACATTTTCAGCCATTTCACCAGAAAAACAGAACACTCACAGCCACGGTTAAAAAAAAAAGCTGGCCCTGAGTTATGGCTTTAGAGCTTTAGTGAATTTCAAACTGTGGGCAGGAATGACCAGCTCTACTTAAACTTAAAATGTTTAATCTCTGACCCTTTTTTGCACATTTGCTTAACTACTTGTCTGATATGGGTCACATATGTATGGAGTTTAGTGAACAAACTTTCATACTTCTCATTTGATTAACAAACATGGGTTGCTGAGTTTTTAGAAACAATGTATGGATTTATGTATCTGTACATCTTGCATTTGGTTGCTATTTTAGCTTCTATTCCACAGACCATCATATAAATCTAATAAAAAATTGTAATAATAAGAGTTTTTAGGAAAACTGACCATAAAGCAAGAAAGGAATAAGGAATGTGCTGCCAAGTGATGTGAATGCTGAGAATGAGAGAAATTATCACAGCAGTGGACTTTACTGCTCAGAGATGAAGGATAAAAAATAGATGTATAAATCAATAAATTAAAAAAACTTTCAACTCCAATGTTCCATTCCATTTAACCCACTTGGCCCGTGTTCTGCATCTTTTTTCCTCCCTCTTTGGCATCTTACCCTCTGACTCTCTCTCCCTCTTTTCAATTACAAGAGCTTAATCGCGCTATCTTTCGTTCCCCCCCCCCCTCCCTCTATCACACTCACAAACTCCAGTTACTTAAGGTTTCCACTGGCCATATGGTGGTTTTATCCAACCTCCTTCATATAAGATGCCAAAGCTGGAGGCGATGTGGATTTCACTGAGGATTTCAACGAGTACAATGAGACAGATTAGAAGGGACGAGTAGATTGAGGGGAAAAAAAACGATGCAAGATAAGACAGAATGTTTAGAAGATCAGCCTACTTCTACCTGGATTATTTCCGTTGTCCAACTCAACACTGGCACAGCATCTTGTGCTAGCGAGGCATTGCTTTCTGAGAGTTTAACCTCGTGTCTGTCCTCTCTCCTCACACACAAACATATGGTTGGAACCACCTGCTCACCAGACTCATTTACTGCTGGACGGGTCCAGGAAGACAGGGGGACGGTGAGGTCACCACAACACTGCCAGAGCCATCTGCCTACCATTTTCTGTGTGAGTGCAGTCCATCCAGCACATAGGATGCCACCCACATGGCTCATCTGACATATTTGGATTTGACAGATTCTATTCCCACATCCACTGGGGAAAACAAGTCACCAGCTGTACATTCTGCAGGAGAAAAAAAAACTCAGGGAAAGGTTTGTGCCAATAGCCATTTAAAAAATTAAATGGCTTTTGTTCTCTTGCATTAGAGGATAACGAAGTCTATGAAACATCCAAACAATAAAAATAAAAAAAGAGAAAAAGGTCTGCTTATAGACTTATTGACTTATTTTATGATTTTATTGTTATGCTGCATTTAATTTAACCATTTTTGCCTATTAACAAAAAAAAAAAAGAGGTTGGGATGATTTATTTCCTATGATACTATAGTCAAACTAAAAATGTATGCTTTAAAAGAGAGAGGGGAAAATTTTCAAGTGAAAACCTTCGTATTGTGTTGGACAGAGATGAAATTACTTTATTTCTGATTTCAGAGCCACTGGGGGGGGTTACAGCCACAAGGCTCCTAAGAGGCTTATAATACCATCACTTGAAAACACCTTAAGCGTGCCACCTCTGAGACACAGCGGGAAGAAGGATCAGGATGGCCTGCACTCCCACTGTTAATAGAATGAACCGGTCTGTGTCTGAGGAAAGGAACCCACCATTCCTGCGTCCCGTTCCCAAAGCGCTATCTGAGTCTTGACCGGCTGATAATGTGCCAGTCTGTGTGAGCGGGAGCCAAAGCCCACAGCATGTTGACTTCTGGCTGATGTCAAACTACCACTGAACTCATAATGATGAGCCGAGAGCGAGGTGAGCACGGATGAGTTTGCAGAGAATATGAGGTCAGGTGCAAAAACGTATCTAGAGCACAAATGATCCCTGTTAAATAATGTTAAGTTTATTAATTGAATTTAAAGAAAAAAGTGCTTGTATCATCTCACACAGCTATCACACGTTATCTTACAACATCTTTCTAGACCTCAGACATTTTCAGTTAATCTTTTTTCTGAATATCTACTAACAGCACCATGCAGATCTCTGACCTCCACCAAACCTGTCTGACTCTCCTGCTCCTCCAGAAAAGCTGTAAAAGCAGAAAAGAGTGTGCAGCCCTGCACATAAACCACACAAAGTCAAAGCAAAAGGCCCGCCGTGCATGCCACCTTTTTGTCTCTGAGGTCACAGCTGAGCCTCATTTGAACTGCTCAGTTTCAATTTCAATTCAACAAAACGACACGTTTTTTAATGAAATCCCACTGAAATGAAATCATCTCACAGCCTCCCAGACCACAGGCACCACTTCTCTCCACCGTCCCATAATAAATCAGTCACAGGTGACACACACACACACACCCCTCATTAATGCGCAGCACCATCGGTTACCAATGCCCTGCAGAGCACGCACAGCCTGCTTTGGTCCACAGTGGTTTCATTCCACATGATCCGTGGATATACGCACAACCAGACGCAGATAAAGCGCAGAGGAAAGCCGGTGCACGCAGAAAGCATCCTTACCTTTCTGAGGCTCGTCTCAGCGTGCGCTCCTCTCAGTCTGCCTTTGTCTGGAGCAGACACCGCGCGCGGCTCCAGCCGGCCCACCTTTTGAGGAGGGAGGGAGGGGGGGGGCTTTCCTTTTCTTCCCAGTGAGTGTTCGCTCGGTCTAAAGCCGACTGGCACACACTACATTTTATTTTCCCCCTCCATTGAGTCTCTCTCAGAGAGCCTCCCCTTCCCCCTCTGTCAGTCAGCTCGCTCTCGCCTTCACTTACTCTCCCCCTGCTGCCTTCAGGGACTGCCCGTAAAGTCCAAAGGCCATCATCAGTACAGCTTTCGCCTTTCCGTCTGTGGTCAAGAGGACAAATCCTTCACAGTGCCGCTAAAAATGGTTTGGGGTTAGTGTTGGAGTTAATATAAAATCTAGTCTTGAATTAATCAAATAAATGTATCAGAATTTGGCAATAATTTTTACTAAACGGATGGGAATGTGATAAAAAGAAATCAACTTAAAACTAAATTAAGTATCATTCAAGAATAATCCTCTTCCTAAATGGCTTGGAGAGATGGTTAGATTAATTAGACGCCAGCAAAGTTGGGACTTTGCAGTTGGGAGAATCTCATTGTTGAATCATAATGAGATAATGTATCCGGATATCGTTTTATTCTTATCATCCTCAATCTATTTGCTTGATTACTTTTTTAATTTATTTACTTTTGTTACAGAATGCTTTCTTTTTATTTACCTTTCTTACAGAATGGAAATCAAACAAACATTTATTAGAATTAAAACATGGATTTAAAAAATCTGAAATTGGTTTTTGGACTAAGAAGAAGAATCTTATGAAGATGTTGGCTTTTATAGAAAACTGTGGTACAATTGGCTGGCATTTAAGATTTACCCTCCTTTGAATATTTATAACATACCATTTTATCTTAAGATAACTTGATACTTAAGCAAGGTGAGCATCCTAGCATTACTTAAACATTTTTTATTCATCGAGATGTCAGACACAGCTGAAACACACGGTAGCGTTTCTGATTGTCCTTAAACGCATCATGGAGTGCACATGCTGTGAGCTCAATGCCTCTTTAGTTTGCTCATCCCAAATCCACCCATTGCAATTCATGCCCTCCCTCCTGATCTCCGTCAGCACGCAGGAAAGTATGCCGATGAGTTCAGGGGAGGCAGCGGTTTGAAAACCTGGATTGAGAATCATCATTACACAGAAACACCTGTGACAGCTCCCTACCCATCCAACTCTGAATTAAGATGATCTCTTCTCTTGAATCTCTCCATCCACCCATCCCTCCCTCCTCTGCCTTTTTCTGTTTTACTGCTCTTCGGAGCCTCTGCTCATGTGGCTAAACTCACTGGTCAAAGAGCAGGGACCTTGATTTGTTCAGACACATTTGACAGTGGGAGAAAAAGATACACAGAATCCTTGCTGATGCTCTGAGATTGCTGAAACCCTCAGTGTGATTAAATGGATGATGACAGAGCTTATCATAGCAGTTCAGTGGGTCAGAGCTGGAAGCTGAGAATCAGTTTTATCTGTGATCAGTGAGTAGATAAGGCCAGTGGTAGCCTTTGAATTGTAACAAAAGAGCAAAAAACAAAACGCAAAGGCAATATGGAGAAAATGTAACTGATGAATGACTGTGTCTATGTTTCAGCACCAAAACATGGAATGGTTTTAATTTGTGGTGGTTTAGTATCAAAATGGGGTCCAAATCAGTGATACCTCTTCTCTTTTTTTCAGAGCAAAATAAGATAAAATTGTGTGTGACTAAACAAATTAATAACAATGAAAAGACAGCCTGATGATAAAAGTTGTTTTACTTGAGAAGTTTCTCACAATCCAAATTGACAAAAATGATACAAACTGAATCGTCAACTGAATTTTAAACTGAACTAATTATTTATTGAACCAGTCTAACATCAAATCATAAGAATCATCACTCTGACATTGTCTTTTTACAGAAATAGTTACATCACAGTTACAGTCACAAAGTATTTTTCATGTTCATGTTTGTAAAAAGAAGTTCCTTGATGCCATCAAGGATGGATTCAGCCATCATGTCAAACTTCAGAATCGGAAGCCTCTGCATGTTTGTCCTCGTCCTGGGGGATCACAAAGACTTTATTTTCATGTTGTCATATATTTAGTAATAATATTCAAAACAACTGATTTAGGGATTCAGTTATGCATGCAGCATTTTAAAGAATAACATTGTGATTGTGGATATGGTTGCAGATTCATAGAATGTCAACATCAGTCGCACTCACTGTGTATATGGGATTCTGGAAAGATGCAAAGCTCTCATCTTCAACTGGATCCAAAACCTGGAAAAAAAGTAATACTATCTAAATAAACATATATGGTATGCATTTAAAATAGCCTAGATAAAAATATTTCTCCAGAATATTGACTGCCATGCAGTAAACCTTGGGTTATTGTTTGTTTTTCCACAGCTACCTGTGAGCTAGAAGCAGCCGGATGTGCAGGAGCAACTTCTTTAACAGCTGAGCCGTACAGTGGGTTCTCAATAGCTTCCTGAAGCAGATTAAACATAACATTTTTAGGGGCTGCATTACAGTGTGGTGATGTTTAAAACCTCTCTCTGTGGAATTGTCTGTTGTGTAAAACTATAGTGTGAGACTTGTAAAACCCACCTTTTCGGAAACAGTGGGGCTCGGTGTGTTGGCGGTGGACTCCTCTGCAGCTTGACCCTCCTCCACATACAAGGGATTATCAATATTTTCCTGATGAAAGGAAAAGGGGGATAAGAAACCAACTACAAATCTTCAACTAATGCTCTATTTTGACTCTTAAAATTTGGAGATAAAACGTACAGCTCTCTTTTTTCTCCCTTTTGTGGGCACAAAACATTGACCTAAAACTTTGATGGAGCAAAACTGCCGGAACCTGGCACGCGGCCTTAAGCAGAATCCCAGCCGTGCACAGGTGTGTGCTTCGGGTCACTGACCTCGCTCGTTTCGGTTGGGGCTGAAGTGGCTGTCCGCATCCTGTTGGAGGCAAGCTGACCTCCAGCATCATACGCTGGATTCTCAAAGCTCTTATCTTTGGTATCAATCATGGACACTGATATGCAGGGAACCTGACATCAGAAAGAAAAGCCAGGTAAGTGTCCATACGAAATGGAACCACAGAAGTAGAATTTAAAAGGTTGTTGAAAGAACATATATAATCTGGGCAAATATACAGAAATGTATTGTTTTTTAAAGCAGATGACTATGACTACTGACTGGCTCGGAGGTCTGGCTGGTTTCACTTTCTTCAGTTTTCTGTCCATTTGGGGTGTAACCATTTCTGAAAGTGATCAACACACAAAAAGGCTCAATTAACTGCACGTAAGATGCAGACATACACTGGAAACAAACTGCTTTCACTCCAAACAAATACAAAGAAATATATAAAGTCTCATGCTCCGGTCTGTAAAACAATCACTGCCGATTGGAAGGATGGGACATTTAGGGAAAACACATTTTGGATATTGGAAAAAAAGGAATAATCCTCTTCTTTATCTCACCTAAAGTTAGGCATTTTAGGCATGGATGGCATGCTAGGCATGCTTGGCATGCTTGGCAAGTTGCTCTGAAGCGATTCCAGCAGGTTAGACTTCTTTCGGGACGCATAGACCAGAGCCCCCAGCAGAACCAGTATCAATATTGTCACCCCGACGGCTATTCCAACTGATAGGAAGGAAGAGAAAAGCAGAGAGAAAACAAGAAGAGCTGAGTTTTATACAAATGCAACCTGAATATGTATTGTCTTTCTTGTGAAACCAAACACACCTGAGGATGCTAACACATTGTACACACTGATCTGGCAGTACTCTCCATTCCAATCTGGAGGACATCTGTGGAATAGATGTGGATATAAGGTGGTGTTGTCACAGTTCAAAGTTATCTAAACAGCAGAGGCTACATAGTTTCTTCTTCTTTTTTTTTATCAGGGGAAATATTGTAGCCAAACACTTACTTGCAGAGAGCCTTGTTGTCATCAAAGTAGCAGGTGCCTCCGTTCTGACACTGGCATGGTGGCGGCATGGTGGGTGGTGGGTCAAACCCTGAAAAATCAGAAAACCCACCAGTGAGTTCTGTATAAATTGCTAACTGTACTGTACATTTGAAAAGATGAAGTTATTCCAGGTACGCTGACTTATAGGTCACTGGTAAATTAAGATGAATGCAGCACATGATGGTGAGGGAGAGGAAGAGGAAGAAAAGTTGCAGCTGTTACCTGCATCACACTCAGTGCTGCTGCCGGGGATGAAGTTGGTGCCTTCTGGGCAGGCGCAGCTGTATCCTCCTGGCCTGAGCAAACACAGGTGGCTGCAGGTTCCTTTACATGGATTCTTCACTGCAAATATAAGTTTTCATTAAAGTAACTACCACACGTTGAAAAAGGCGCGACAGACGATCTGTTTGTCTATTTGGCATTTCTATTTCCGATGCTTTATCTAGAAACTGAAAGGAAATCTTTTGGTGCTGTGTTTGTGTATTTGAAAATGTGAGATATGAGCATGCAGCTTACTGGCTATGGAGTTGTATTTCTGCTGTTGGTACACAGAGATCTGGGTCAGCCAGGGCCCAGCGGTCAGCAGCTTGGTTTTGGATCCGTGGCCAAACTTGTCCTGTCGAAACACCTCGCCTTTTTCCTGAGTGCTCCAGTAAACGTGGTCCTCAAACACGTTCACGCTGAAGGGGTTCCTCACATCTGAGGAGGAAGCAAAACCGAGGCGCCCCGGTCACTGAAACACACTGTGCACTGAATATCTGGCCTACTGAGGATTACTGGAGGTGTGAAACTATGATTACATGTGAACCTATTCTACACATGGTTAATTCTTTCAGAATAATCCCATACCTATGAAAACTGATGTTCTCCGGTCCTCTCCTGAGGGCAGGACAGACTCGATACGACTTTCTTTGGCATCAGACCAGTAGATTCGGTCCCCGTTGGTGAAGTCGATTGAGAGGCCAGTGGGCCAACCCAGGCCGTCAGCTACAAGAACCTTTCTCTCCTGTCCGTTCATCCATGAACACTCAATCTTAGCTGAGTCCCCTCGGTCTGCCCAGTACAGCATCCTGCAGAGGCAGAGCAGGATTTAGAGCTGAAATTACTTTTTAAGTGTTCTCTACTGAATTTAAACTAAACAATACAGATGAATCATCATTCAGGAAGAGGCTGCATAACCATAGTTAGTAACTTCATTGTTTACCAGGGACTTTTATACACAAAGTATGAAGTGGCTCACAGGGAGAAGAGGTGAGCTGGCCAGCTTACCCAAGTCGAGGGTTGACCGCCACAGCAGATGGGTGACCCAAATCAGTCTTCACAAGGTGCTTCCTGTAGCGTCCATCCAACATGGCCACTTCCAACCTCTGAAGCCTGGAGTCTGCCCAGTAAAGGTTTCTAAAACGAGTTTTAAAAGAAAAAATAAGATATAGTTAACTGTTAGACATGACAAAGCTCATATCAGGAGACAAGAAAAGGAGAAACCCACCTGCCCACCCAGTCCACAGCGATGCCATCTGGTGTGGTGATGTACTTGATGTCCAGGGCGACAGCTGCACCGATGTTATTACTGCCGTCGTCCACCGAGGGGATGTAGGCTCTCTTTATGGCTCCTAATTCAGAGTCCTTGCTGGCAACAGTGAAGTAGACCATGCCTGAAAAAAGGCAGACGTGAATTCAGACGTGTTCTTTCTGCAAGCCGCACGGAGCCAGTTGCAGCCGTCGGAGTGGGAGTTAGTCTGTGTCTCTTACTGAATCCAGTGTTGTTGTGGTCCCAGTCGTAGTCCAGAGCCATGATGCGCTCCTCTTCCTGGAGAAAGTCGTGGTAAGCCTCTGTCTGCAGGTTGAATCTCCGGATACGAATGCTCTCCGGTAGAAGCAGCAAAGGAGACGTTCCTGCAGGATAAACATGATAACTGTAAATAATGTGCGAAATAAAGAGAAATTCAAAGAATTTTGTCACACAAATTATTTATCTAATATTTTTCATATAGTAATGATACATTCTACCTATGGTTGTTATGCCCTGCATCTGTGTTTTATTATTACATACAAATTCTACATTTAGTATAAGTGGATATTAACAATGAATAACTTTTACATGTCAGTTGTCAGTTCACTTAGCAGCAACAAAAAATAGAATTTAAAAAAAACAGCTGAATAAGAAAAAGTAGAACTGCTGAAAGAAAAAAAATCTATATCAAGCTCAGAGTGAGGTGCAGTGTATTGGTTCAAAAAACATCCTGGTTACTTAAATAAGCTATTTCGGTCAGCCGTAGAGGCTAATTATGTCATGCTGCTCAGGGCTCATTATGAGTTTATTCTCACCTTCAGCCTCACACATGCTGCCATCTCCCACTTTTCTGTAACCCGGTGCACACTCACAGTCGTAACTGCCCTTGGTGTTCTTACAGACCTGAGGACAGATTCCCCACTCCTCACACTCATTGATGTCTGGGGGTGGAAGGAGACAGTTGAGTTCAGGAAAGTTCTGGTCATCCGACGGCTAACGTTCCCACCAGGATATTCATAAGGTTAATGAACTGGCATGTGTGTGAAAGTGTGTGTATGAACGTGTACCCAAACAGTTGTAGGTGCTTTCTGGGTCCACTTTGTATCCAGGTCTGCAGGAGCAGATGAAACCAGTGCCGTTCAGATTGGTGCACTCGTGCTGGCACAGCTTCTCCTCACAGTTTCTGTCATGGCCAAAGTCTAAAACCAGCCAACACAGAGCGTTTCTGACACATTTGGAATTACTTTTTTTTTTTTTTGCCTATATAAAACAGAGCTTGCAGCATAAAGCTGATCAGAGATTATCAGAGAGCTAAGACACTGGGAAAAAGATGAACTAGGACACAGATGTCCAAAAATGATCCGGCACCTAAAAATGTTTTACAGTCTTCCAAAACCTTTGATATTCATAATTTTTCACATGAAAATCAAATTCTGACAACAATCGAAAAACAGACGTCCAAAGCAGACTTTATATAATGTAGAATGCCAGCTTTTTTTATCTCGTTGTTGCACCATGATAAATGCAACATGGAAGTAATATAAACCAGCCATTTATTTTTTCATCCACACTGAAGGCAATGCTGTGCTTTAGCTTTACACTTTTTAAATGAGCTAGGTCATGCGAAATATCAGCTCAAAGTTATTCTGTAACATTTAAAAACATTGGGGGACAAAATCAATAATAGGCCTATTAGATCCTGTTGGTTTGATGATTGTTTGCTAGCGTTACTCACTGCAACCCATTTCATCTGTGCGATCCCCACAGTTGTCGTTGTGGTCACAGACATATGGCAGGGGCACACAGTGGCCATTGATGCATTTAAACTCTTCCAGAGTGCAGGGGGGCAGAGTGGGCTCCCGGCCTGTGAAGATTACAGCCAGAAGTAATCAGCATTTGAAAGTCCTGTGTTTGTACAACTCATGGAAGAATTCCTTCTCTACGACGTGGACATGTTGGCTCTTACAGTCACAAACTTGTGTGCTCTATCATGATACATTCTGCCAGTTAATACTGTTTCTTGCAGACAAACAAATGGATTTGGATGAGCCAGCCAATGTCAACCTCCACTCTGCACTCTAATTTGATTGGTATATAAGCTGATTGTGACATTTCCTTATCCATTGTTTGTTTGGGGCTTTGTGACCTGTGCAGTCGCTGATGTCATTTTTGAAAATCCGACCCAAAAGAGGAAATTTCGGAGAATTTATGTGGGATGGAGTAATGTATGGTAATCATGGAAACTGATCATAAGTAGTGCATTCGCTAAACCCGAGTGTATTACAAATCTGGCAGTGCTACGGTTAATAAGAAATATAGAGACAACAGCAATACCGCACAGTGCACTTAAACTGATTCACAGGATGTGGAATTAAATGTAGAATATTTCACACCAGCTCTCAGTGTGTGTTAACATATGGTTATGCGGCTCTTTTCTGTACTATTTTGTTTCTGTAATGCTATATTGTTCATGCTGATGTGTGCTCTGCTGCATGCATGAGTGGAAACCATACACAGATCTTCTTTTTCATCACTGCCATCTCCGCAGTCATCTTTCTTATTGCAGAGCAGCCCAGAGTAAATACAGTAGCCGTTGGCACATCGGAACCTGGACGGCATCTCACAGGTGATGTTCACTGGTCAACACAAACCACTGGTCAACATAAACCTTTATTTTTATCTATTAAGAAATACCGGTATGAGAGAAAGCTCAATTAATACAAGGAAACTTTTTCTCACAGCATAAACTGAGTTGTTCATCGGAGCGATCTCCACAGTCGTCCACACCATCACACACCCAGCTCTGGCTCACACACAGTCGGTTTGCACACTGGAACTGGCTGTCCGGACACCAACGGCCCCCTGGGTAACGAGTCGCTTGAAAAAGTTTAAGAAAAATGGTTATTTTCATGAATTTTGCTCTTCAGGTGTTCAAAATAACATTAGCTGAAAGATACCAGTCAAAACCAAGATCATGTCTTATTTTGCAAATAAGACCATTCTATTATTTAAATCATTTTGATGTAACACTGTTACACAGAAAGAGCTGTAAGTACATTTGAATAGAAAAACAAATCAGATAGAGTTTTACTTTAATTTGATTTCTCAATAAATGGTTTTATCTGAAATATTTTCAAAATATATTAATTCTGTGTCCCTGAAGGGACAATATAGGAACAAAATAGTCCCACAAACACCAGTTGACTAAAACACTCCACGGCCTGGCAGCTGGCCAATCGTTTTCATGATGTTTACTTACGACAGCTGGTCTCATCTGACAGATCCTGGCAATCGGGCCTGCCATCGCACTGCAGAGCAGCAGGGATGCAGTGACCGGAGTCACACTGGAAGGAACCAGGGCGACACGTCAGCAGTTCTGGAAACAAGCCAAGATGTTAATGTGAGTTGTTTTTAAACGGGTCGTTTTGTGTGGAAGCGAGCACGCACGCGGGGTCTGCTCACCGCAGTCTCGCTCATCTGAGTTGTCTCCGCAGTCATTGTCATGGTCACACACCCAGTTTCCAGGGATGCACTGTTGGTTGTCACATCGAAACTCACTCTCAGAGCAGGGTCGTGGCTCTGGAGACCACAGAGATGCACGTTAGTTTAATAAGGAAGCAGTGTGATCTGCAGCTGCAAACCGCCCAGGCCCAGTTCCAGGGGCCGGATAACTCTTTGAAATGTAGAGAATCTAACACTCACGGCAGTCCCTCTCATCCGAGCCGTCACCACAGTTGTTGATGCCATCACACCTCCATCGGATGGGAACACAGCGGTGGTTGTCACAGCGAAAATCTCCCAGAGGATCGCAGGTCACCTCCTCTGTTGCAGTAATAGTCATAAAGCAAAAGGAAATAAAGGGAATTTTATTATCTGAAAAATTACAAAAACAAGGCTGTGACTTTGCTCTGGTATCTAAGGTTTAAAACACATTTAGATACGCTTTTTAAAATAATATTTAAAATCTTCATTAAGTATTTTTCACGTTTTCAAACGATAATATTATTTTCTCCTTCAGGTTTTTTCTTTTCTCTTTAAATAATAAGCTGAAAACGTCTTGGTCAGCTGTGGGCTTGGCTGAAACAAATCAATAAACCATCCGATTAGTGGTCTGTATAGATTGTGTGTAAATCCTTTCGGCTATTCAAAATAATGCTCTTTTCATCTCTACTATGCAGTACAAAGGTCACAGTTTATTTTTAGTTCAAGTATAGTTAAAAATACTTTGCATCAGATCATAAAAGATTTTGAAAGCTAAGCTGGACACAATATAATTTCCCCTTCCTGGAAACCAATTTTCTTTAAGTTCCCAAGACCGGGAATTAATATATGATAGTGCAGCTCTGCCTTCCCCAGAATAACACATCTGCTGTTGGATGAAGACTGACCACAGCCTTCCTCGTCGCTGTTGTCGATGCAGTCATTGCTGCCGTCACAACGAGCCCACTGAGGAATACAGCGGTAGTTTGTCTTGCAGGAGAACTCAGTGTCTTCATCGCACTTGTACTCTGGGCCCACTGGAAAAGAAAAGACAAAGATAAATTAAAGGTGCATCCTGATGAGGCTGATGGTAAACCAGAAAGTACTCAAGATGTAGAGAGTCAACAGGGAAAGAGCAAAACAGTCTTTTTTATGATTTGGAGCACCGCGAGGGGGATAAGAACCAGAGTGACTTCATTATTTCACCCAGATTATTCTTGCCATAAGACTGAGTCTATATTGATTATGCACTGTATGAGTTAGAAATAGATAAATCTCTTTGATTAAACTGTCACCTGTTCACCCGCAGAAAGCTCCTGTCATCAATTGCAGGATAATTTTGCTAATCCAAGAACTCTAGTAAAAGAAATGAGGGGAGATGGCTCTTTCATTCCTGCCACAGTCTCTAAAGAAGGGATTACACTTCTTCAAGTAATAGAAAATGGTAGCAACCTGTGTTCATTGTTTTGAAACTACCATTTTCTAAAGCTTAACGTACTGCAAGTTTCATATGGCTCATCAGATCCATCTCCACAGTCGTCCTGGGCATCACACACATAGCTTGAGGGTACACAGCGGCCATTGGCACACTGGAACTGTCCTGGTCCACACGTCTTCTGGGCACACGTTTCTGCATCTTCATCACTGTTATCTGAGCAGTCGTTTACTCCATCACAGTGCCAGGACACAGGTATGCACTTCTTGTTTTTACACTGGAACTGGTTCTCCTCACAGCGGTGATCGCCTATGACGACAGAAAAATCTGACCACACTGAACATGATCACAGATCAGATTTCAGTGTACAGCTTGTTCTACGATTTTATCGCATCTCAGGGTGCGTTCAGATGATTCAGTGTAAATTTGCCCATAAAACATTTGAGGATATGAATATGTTTCTCGTCATACTGCAGAGAGCAGCGTCCTCGTCTGAGCTGTCAGGGCAGTCTGCATGTCCATCGCAGATGAAACCAGGGTAGGTGCAGTTGCCATCCTGACACTGGAACTGGCCAATGGGGCAATAACGAGGTGGGCAGGTCTGAGGTTCATCTGAGCCGTCACCGCAGTCTGATTGGCCGTCGCACTTCCACCATATGGGAACACACCTGAAGCAAGAAGAAATAGTAAAAGATTTGAAGTTCAACATGACTTGCAGTGTCTTTTGATTATTTACCTTCTTCTACATCTACCACTGATTTTATAACTTGAACTGGGCCTTTTTGACACCCGAGTCAGTTTCTTCTTATTTCAAATATTCTTTCTAATTCTATCGGTGGGGGATTATCAGACATATAAGCTGAATGCACTGCACAAATTCCGTCTTTTTGTCACTCAAATAGCGATTTTGGCCCATTAGAATCTTGTAGTGAGTGATTAAACCCTTTATTGAATTGTCTGTGTGTGTTGTTCTTGGTTTAAGTTCAATCTCGCATGATCTGGGGCAAATTTACACGCTGACATAGATTATTAGTTTCTTTTTCCTAGTGTCTTGGAAATGTGCTTTTGAACACCTATTTCTCTCATGAAAACTGGGGATTAGAATATAAAGAAAATGATTGGAGACTGAATGAGAAATGCAGTTGATCAAACTTACTTTTCATTGTCCCCACAGCGAAACTGGGTACTGGAGCAGTCAGCGACACACTGGATCTTAAATCCCACAGCTAGGCCAATAAAATGATCCGGACACTCGCAGGAAGCTTGCTTCCCACCAGGTGCGATGAGACACAAATGACTGCAGGTCAGATGATGTGATGTGCAGGGGTTTTCACCTGGCAAATTTAAGGATAAAAAAAAAAAGTTAGCATGGGCCGTTCCATATAAACAAGTAAAAGCAAACACAACTGTCATCTCCATACTTCTAGGCTGCCTGTAGGGGTGGTACACATGAATGTCATAGGGCCGATGTGTGTTGTTGCCCATGACTGTTCGCTGCTCTCCTGTGTACTTATGGGCTTTCTCCACTGTGTGTGTGTTCCAGTCTGTCCAGAAGACCCAGTCTTCAAACAGAGACACAGCAAATACATGGGGAAGTGTACCAGCAATGGCCCGGTGCCTGTTCTGGCCATCCATGTCTGCAAAGCTAAAAACATAAGCAAGCTTTGAATAAAAGTGGGTATATAACAGGTGAAACAAAGAAATACCGGTAGCAAAGCAAAGATGAGCAACGATTATGGTGATATCAGTTTCTGTCTGAACCCCTGAACTCACTCCAAAAAGTTAAGATGTGAATCAGCAAAGAAGATCTTGTTGGTAGTGTAATCAATGGTCAGAGCATTGGGCCACTCCAGCTTGGCTGTGATGATTGCACTGACATTTGTTCCATCCATGCCAACTCTGCCAATATAGGCTGCGTCCCCCCAGTCAGTCCAGTACAGCCATCTGACAGAAAGGTGACAGGAAAGGAGAGAACAAGGGAGATGAGGAAGACTGTAAAACTTCTGGAAAAAAAACAAACAAATACAAAGGCAATTCCTAACTATATATTTCTGGAGGTATTTAAAAAAACTTCATAAACAGAACTGAAATATTCTCATTAGCTGTAAGCACTGCATCTTAACAAGTTTAGCAGAATCAGACACAACCTCCAAGGACTTGTAGTCCTGTGTGTGACTGCGTGTATGAATATGAGCGTGAATACCCATATTTAGGGTTGACCGCCACAGCCCGCGGTTGACTGATAATGTAGGTGTCATTTCCACTGGTGAACTCCCCTGACAGCAGCGTCTTTTGGTAGAGCCCATCCAGCTCCATCACATGAAGTGAGCCATAATAACTATTTGTCCAGTACACTTTCCTGTGGGAAAAACAATGGTGAATAACGAATGCTTCTTTTTAGGAAAGTCTCCACATTTTTCCGTGTTTACACACCTGCCCACCCAGTCCAGTGCCAGACCTTCAGCTCCTCCTAAGTTGCTGTCGACCAGTGTCTCTCTGTCGCTGCCATCAAAACGCATCCTCTCAATCTTTCCGACCCCTACATCCAGCCAGTACAGCCTCTTCTCATAGTGGTCAAAATCTAACGCCACAACATTGGTCAGCCCCTGCAGGACTATGCTTAGATGTGACCCGTCGGTGGTCAGATTGCGGATGTAGTAGCGGTTGGTGTACAACAGGTACGGTGCGATGCCACTGTTCTGGCGGCAGGTGCGTCCGTCCGGCTCTCGGATGTACCCGGGAGCACATTTGCAGTGGTACGAGCCAACGGCATTCTCACAGATCTGGCTGCAGACCGCAGGTGTGCTGACACACTCGTCGATGTCCTCGCAGGCTTTGCCGTCCGGCATGAGGCGATAGCCCGGGTGGCAGGAGCAGTAATACCCGGTAAGGGTGTCCGTGCAGAGTTGAGCACACTTGTGGACAGAAGGGTTGACACACTCATTGATCCCTAAGCAGAAACATGAGAATGTTTTAGCGAAAAATATGTTACACAACGTCTATTACATGCAATAAAACTGCAGGAAACAGGCTTTCTTAAATACTGTGGTAAAAGTATTACTTTAATAGTCTATGTGGCGAAATGTCCTCCTCGTTAATGTCTGACAGATGTATACCATTCATTCATCCTGAACAGGTTAAAAAATGTCACATCATTTCTCAATGGACTCACCACAGCCTTTTTCATCGCTGTTGTCATGGCAGTCCTTCTGGCCATTGCACACCTTACTGTTCTCAATGCACTCCCCTGACTTGCAGAGATAATGCTGTGGAGAGCACGTAGGCTGGGGTGTAAAGCACAAGCTGTCTGCCTCATCTGAACCATCCAGGCAGTCGCTCTCCCCGTCGCAGGTGAAGGAGGAGGGGATACAGGCTCCGTTGCCACAGGTGAACTGGTTGCTGCTGCATGTGTCGTATGTACAGCCCAACTCATCACTGCCATCTCCACAGTCATTCACGCGGTCGCAGCTGAAAGAAGAGCCATGTCTCATTACCCACTGCCAAAGGAATTAGTGTTTGGACGTCTATTTAAAAGTGTGCTTTTAGATATCCCCACATTGGGTCTTACTGGAAAGGGATGAGAATGCAGAGCCCATTAGAACAAGCAAACTCGTTCAGGTGACATGTCCGGTTTGGGCAGTTCTGGAGCTCATCAGCTGCATTGGCACAGTCTCTATCCCCATCACACACAAAGTTTAGGGGCACGCAGCGTGGATGTCCCGGATACCATGTTGGACAAGTAAACTGACTGGAACTGCAAGTCCGTTGTCCTATAACAGAAAAAAAAAAGCGTTTTATCAAGGTTGGTTAAATGTTGTGATGCTACAAACAACTGCAAAAGTATTTTCAGACTTCAACAACACACATGCTTAAAATCTATACAAAACTGATATGAAAAACTGAACAAAAGGATATTTAATAAATCAAAATTAAACATCCTTCAAGTCAACAACAAATTACTTAAGTATTAGTACTATTATTACATATAGGATTAAAGGAATTTCTAACTGCTCTCTCACCACATTGAAGCTCTGGGGCCTCGTCACTGTTGTCCCAGCAGTCATTGTTACCATCACAAACCAGCGAGTGTGGGATGCAGTTTCCATTGGTACAAGTGAACTGGTCTGAACTGCATGTTCTTATTTGATCCTCTGCACACAAACAGGAACAAAAAAATAGAGATATATTTTTGCTTTCATTTGGTTGTGAGTTGACAAAAGCTGTCCTTTGTTTTTGACGTAAATGTGCTGAACTTACCACAAGAGGGAGGTTCATCTGTTCCATCATTGCAGTCTTGGAAGGAGTCACATACCCACGACTGAGGGATACACTTCCCTGTATCACAACGGAACTGATCCGGAGCACATGTGCGACCCGCTGCAGCACATTAACACACAGAGAAAGCACATCTCATGCAAGAGATAACCCATAAACTTTCAGGATGTTAACAAGTTAACAAAGCAAAAATATGTTTGTGGTTATCTCTCTAATTTTATTCTCTATTCACTCAGGGACTGGCTCACCGCAGAAGAGGGGATTCTCATCGCTGTTGTCCCCACAGTTGTTATAGCCGTCACACAGGTTGTCGGGATCGATGCAGATGTTGGTTCCATCGCACTTAATTTGGCCTGAAGGACATGTGCGGTCAGCTGGAAATGATGGAGAGGTTTAAAAAAAAAAAAGGTCTTTGGCAGTATTTTTTATAACACAGCTATCTGTTATTAAAAATGCAGAAAAGTCTGGAGTTTTTAAAGGGATAAAATCATAGAATTCCGCCAATCATTCATTTATTTTGGGCGACAAATAACACAGATAACAAATGTGACTCTTGCTTAGCTCTGTTGTAACTCACGGCAGTTGATTTCGTCTGACGTGGCATTGTCCCGACAGTCGTTGTGGCCGTCGCAGACGAAGGCTGCACTGATGCAGCGGCCGTTGGCACAGGTGAACTCGGTGGTGGGATTACATGTAGGGAAGGGGCAGCCCTGCTCATCACTGTTGTCACCACAATCATCTGTGTAGTCACAGGTGTAGCTTAATGGGACGCAACGCCCATTGTCACAGGTAAAGTCCATGGCTGAGCACGTGTGGAAGGCTGGGTAGGGGGAAGAAGAGTTTCAACTGTCATCTAACTGCAGAACCAGCCTGCATTCTTACAGCAACCACAGAACAAACTGCCATCCGGATGGGAGTGAATATGAATATGTCAAAGGTCTTTTCTCACCACACACTCTTTCCAGCTCATCTGAATTATCCTGACAGTCATTGAAGCCATCACACTTCCAGCGTCCGGAGATACAGTTACCATTCAGACAGGTAAACTGCTCTGGTGGACAACGCTGACCTTTGTCTTCGATGCAATCCTTGCCATTATTTGCCAGATACCATTTGCCCTCATGAGGACACTGGCATTCTGGGCCAACTGGACCTGCAGAGGAGAACATGGGGATGTGGTGAATCTGTGAGTTTATGAATGCAGAACCGAGAGACTAGCAATCCTATATTTATTCAGTTCAGGATTGATTTAACTACACATTTAAGTCTATCACTTAAGATTGCCAAATATTTATATTCCATTATGATTCCACAATGTTAAATCTACTTATATCATAGTTTTAACAAAAAATATTCCTTATCGTTTTTGAGATTGTGTGTAAGAATAAATCTGTTTTTACCTGAGACACAGATGTGACTGCATCCTCCATTGAACTGCTGACAGAAGCTGGAGCATGTTTCCTGCTTAGATGCAGCATAAACATGGATGTCATTTGGTCGGTACTGCAGGTCCTGGGCTATGACTGTGAAGCCAGAGCCATCGTCCTTCCCTGCCCTAAAGACAGCTCTTGCTGTCCAGTCGGTCCAGAAGATGTCCTGCTGAAAAACAGTCATGGCGAACGGATACTGCACTCCCTGAAGGATTATTTGTCGGTTCTCCCCAGTCAGTGTTGACCGTTCAATCTTGTCTCTACAGAAAGTAAGGAGGAAAAGATAAGATGCTGCAAATGTAGTCCAATTCAACTAATAGACACTGAAAATACTTGATAATCTGGCCTTACAGTGAGGCATCGGCCCAGTAAAGCATCCTCTCCTCATAGTCCAGAGTCAGGCCATTAGGTGTTGTCAGACTGCTGTTTATGATGGCAGTCCTGAAGTTTCCACCCAGTGTGGCCCTCTCGATCTTAGCTGGCGATCCCCAGTCGGTCCAATACAGGTAACTACGAACAAAGAGCGAAACAGGAACAAGAGGCAATTCATGGATGAAGTGTTAACCTTTTCTATTGAGTATTTAGTTGTGAAATGATGATTTTTTTATTTTACCCATAGCACGGGTCAACGATGATGCCTCTGGGGCGGTTTGCATGGGCAATAACTGAACGATTCATTCCATCCACACCAATTGACTGGACATTACGCTTATAGTAGTCAGTGAAGTAGAGGCGTTTGTTGATCCAGTCGTAGGCCAGTCCTTCTGGGTCATCCAAGTCTAAGCAGGGATTATAGGGCAGTTTATACAATAATGTTACAAGAACATTTGGGAAAGAAACAACTAAATGTGACAATTAATATGATACTTACTTGACGCAACTATAACAGGAGGGTTGGTGATGGTTGATGTGGTGATATAGCCAATTCTGCTCCGACCTATCCCCATATACTGGGTAAAGAAAATTCTTTTCCCCTTGAAATCATAATCCAGAGCCATGACACTATAGCCCAGGTTTACTGTTGGATAGGGAATGCTGTGATCTGCTGGATCCAGTCTCAGACTGTTGATTGTGTAGTCTGTGGTGAAAACCAGAAACTCATCAAGCCCGTAACCACACGTCACTCCGTTGTTTAGAAGTGACCCATGTGCACATCCACATTTTGGTTCCTCCTGGTTTGGAATGGCAAAGCACAGCTGCTGGCAGCGCCCATTGTCCTCCTGGCATGGGTTGAAGCCTACTAGGTTGGCAGATGTAGGCTGGATGTGATAGTCAAACACGGCGATGTCTGTTAGCCCATCGAGACTGTCTCGGATTACCTGGTGACATTGACAAGATTTTGTTGTTTAGTCAATGAAAGCATTTGAACCTTTGAAGTTGTCAGATGGCCATGTCATCTCGGAGAAAAGGATTGTCTGGGCAAAACTGGGACGATGAACATGTTAACATTATTCACTATAATCTCTGTTATATTGACTGTGCAGCACATTTTGTACCACAAATATCAGCGTCATTAAAAAACTGTATGAAATGGAACTAGTTTTACTGTCACCTCAGGTTGTGTTGTATTGGCTGGGTCCTTACTGGCTTGGAATAGCTTCCCAAGCTTTTTGTCCACCCACAGCATGCTGTTTCCAAAAATAGCCAGTCCTGTTGGAGATGGATAACGGCTCCCATAACGGACAATCTGCCTCTGTGATCCATCGGTGGCCATTCGGGAGATCATATCAAGAACATCATCAGTCCAGTAGAGGAAATCATTAGTGTAATCAACTGTTAAGCCACGAGGCGATGCCAGGCTCTCTGAAGCTATCACTGTGCGGTTTGTGCCATCCAGCAGGGCTCGCTCAATTTTGGGTGTTTGGCCACCGTCAGTCCAAAAGAGGTAGCGGAGTTTGGGACTAACTGCCAGGTCCCTGGGCTGGTCCTCTATGCTCTTCAGGAGAACCATTCGGTAGGAGGTGTTGATGGCCCACACCTCCAAGAACGTCTCACTCGTAAAGGCATTGGAGAAATACAAGTTACCTTATAAAGTGAAAAGAAAAATGTTTTTAAAAAGATGAGGGTTAAAATGATAATGAATGAATACTGATAATAGTGAATGAATAGTGAACGAGTGGATTCATACCTGAAACCCAGTCTACAGCCAGGCCCTGGATGCCTCTGCGACCGATACCTGAACTTATGACACGGCTGTAACCCCCTCCATCTGGTTTGGCCCTAAATATGCCCTTGTATGATGTGTGGGTGCTGTTGTTAGTCCAGTAAATAAAGCCGGATTCAATATGCAGATCTAACTTGTCCTTTATGTCATAGGATGCTGAAAATAAATCATAAGCACCTCAGTTAGCAGACAGCAGATAAAAGTTTAGACAATGCAAAACAGTCTCTTAAAATTACATTGAGAAATTATTAAAAAAGGCCAACATACATCCAGCAATAGGCACCATTGCTTCCGAATGGTCAGAGCTGTTTATGTGAAAGCCTCGGATGTATTTGGGGCTAGAAATGATGGCAAAGGATTCATACTGTTCACAGCGGGTGCCATCATTAGTGGGGTAAAACCCTGTGGTGCAGGCACAGGTTTTCTGGTTCCCTGGTTTGGGCAGACAGAGGTGAGGACAGCCCCCATTGTTGGAACTGCAAGCATTGGTCGTTCCTGCCGAGTCTATGGGAGAGATAGAGATCTGAAAGTTAGCATGACTGTTTTATTGGACCCAAAATTACGATAGAGAAATAGGAGCTGTAATTTGACATATTATGTTCCAAAAGATGCATTGATGAAAAATAATCGTAAGGACTATAAAAACTCTCACAAAGACTAAATTCCAAAGATAAACCAATAAAGAAAACAGCCAACAGTTATGCTTAAATCCTGCAATCAATTTAATTAATGTAAAAATGAATGAATATTTGAAAATAAAAACTAACAGTCTCAGTGACGGACACCTTTGGATTACATGAAAACTAGATAGTTTCACATACTGTCTCTGGCGTGTACTTTGATAGCACGTAGGCCAGACATTCCGCTCCTCATCACCACCATGTTGCCACCGTTGCTTTTGTCGACCCTCTCAATAACCTCATAGTCCAGGTCGGTGTAGTAGAGGTGGTCCTGGTAGACGGTCAGTCCCCATGGATGAGACAGGCCGCTGACCAAGGTCACACGGCTCACTCCATCCATGGTGCCGCACTCAATCTGTGATTAAAAAACAGTTAACTGGAATAATTCCCATGGGAGCTGAAGAAACTTGTAATTAAGATAAATATCTACTGTATAACATACATAAAATTTTGAATTGGAAGAAAGAAAGCGGGATGATTGCTAAAAATAAAAAGGTAAGCAAAATCTCAAGGGTGAGACTGGAAATCTCCAAAAGGCCTGGTTACAGTCGTGTTGGTCAAAATCTATATAAGCTGATCTAAGTTTCTGTACATACCACTCCCGAACCTGCCACACCCCAGTAAAGCTTCATAGTTGAGATGTCTGCAGTGATGAATCCAATATTGACCAAGTTGCCAGTGTAGAGGTTTTTTAGGTTGCCTCCATCCATGTCAGCACTTCCAACCTTTGGAGGAACTCCACTATCTGATCCTTTGTCGGTCCAAAATAGTTTCCTGTGTAGGAAGGGAGTAGATATGTAAAACAACTGGAATGGTTAAAGCTATAACAAAGAAACGAACAGATGCTTTACCCTCGGGCTGGATCCAGGGCAATTCCTATTGGCTCTCCAGCTCCCTCTGGTTTACCAGTTGAGGCAATGAGAGTTTTCCTGTATTTCTCATTCCCATCTACGCGGATAACCTAAACATAAAGCTTTCTTAAAATGCGCAAAAGCAATACCAAATTAAGGACAAAAATGAGATGAACAGCAGAAACCACAGGACACATTTGTAGCCTTACTAGCCTTTGAAGATTTTAATGCTCTGTTGATTGTTTTTTTTTACTGCAATGTCTTTTGGGATAAGGGTGGAATGGAATAAATATCCTCTCAAATAAAAGCCTAATGTATATGTATAAAAATGCTGATTGTGTGAAACACACATTTTGCAATAAAGTGATACATTAAAAATACAGAGCTGAGAAGTTGTAAAACATACTTAAATACAGACACGCTGCATGTTCCCTGTTAAACTTCCAGTATCACAAACTTACATCACATGTTAAATGTCATTTTATCGACCATCTCATCTACAGCTCGCCATGGCAATTTGCGGCTTGTATTACATGTTAACACTATCCAATTTTCTTTTCTCGCAATTACAAGGTGCTTACTTCAATGGCTTTGCCAGTTGGGTTGGTGTAATACATTATTCGGCTTATCCAGTCAAAGGCTAGACCAGATGGTGAACCCATGTAAGCAGCCGGAGCGAACTCAGATCTGTTGGTGCCGCTGGTTTTCACACGCCAAATTGAACCCTGATAAATGAGCAAAATGAATGACCGTGCATCAAAACAAGAAAAGACATAAATTGATAGTACAGTTAAAATTCAAAATGAGTCCTGCAAGGCATTTTGTTAATAGTAAAACAATAGGAAACATGAAGTATGTTTAATATGTGATGGTTTTCTGTAATAACACGCTTAAGCTTAATTTCTTAACAATTCTAACGATGTCTAAACATTTCTCAGGTTTTTCCACTGAAGCGGTTCACTCACGGTGCTCTGGACCCAGTAAACAAACTGCTCCTGGTCATCAAAGTCGATGTCTTTGCCCTGGCTTATGCCAGACACCGGGGCCATCGCGTTGTTGGATGGGTCAGTGGGGTCCAAGGGAATGCCAAAAATCACAGAATCTCTGACGACCATCAAAAATGGAGTGTCATCTAGAAAAGAAAAAAAACAACAATTGGGCAGAAGTTTTATGCATTCAACTTTTCAACATTTCAGCATAAATTTGTAAAAACCTACCTTTGATACAGGTGCGTTTGTCAGAATCCAGCTTCCAACCTGACTGGCAGTGGCAGGTGTAGTACCTGGGTCTGAGGATTGACAGCAGGCACAGCTGGGAGCAAAGATGCTCGCTGCATGGGTTGACGGCTAAATACAGAACAACAGTGCCAGCTTTAGTCTATGAATCCTATCTTTTACAAAAAAAATCACATTTCAAGCAAAACAAGCCATTTAAACTATTCACCTCAAAACTAAAGTCCAATTTTTTGAGCTATTACATCCATTCATATTTGTGTCTGTTTTCCTTTTGATGTCTTGTTGATCAGTATTGAATAATTTTACATAAATATTCGATTAATTACCTAAATAATCAACATGTTATTTCAAAAGACCTGGAAACAACAGCGTTTTGTGTGGGAACTGTTGTCTAATAGCAAGCTACCTTCAGGCTGTTTGATAGGATGGTCCATAACAATGCCCATGGGTTGGTAGACATTGGTCATCAGAGTGGTGACATTTCCTCCGTGGAACTTGTTTGTCCTCATCACCTTACTAGTGTACCGCTCCGTCCAGTAGATGCTGTCCTCAAAGATTGTCATTCCATGTGGGTGTTGGAGAACCTGGAGAAAGGAAGTGAGGCAGTGTTTCTAAATCTTATTTAAATCAAGATTTAGAGATACACCTGTGGTTTTTACATTTTATTTAAAACAAGACCCCATTCCTGATGCTAATAAATCCTAATCCTAATCCTATGATAATAAATACCACCTACCACATCACTTGCCATGACCTGATGGCGATTTTTACCATCATAATCACAGTAGTCAATATATTTCAGGTAAGCATCAGCAAAGTAAACTCTGCGTGTGGTGTAGTCCAGGGCCAGGCCATTGGGCCAGAAGACTTTAGTGTTGACTATGACTTCTCTTGTGGCTCCATCCATGCTGGCTCGTTCAATCCTGGGATTCTGACCCCAGTCCGACCAGAACATCAGGTTTGTACTGGAAGTAATGACAATGTCACAGAAGAGTTTTATTATTCTTTATATCTTTTTTAGGTCCAGTTCTCAATGGTTTCAAAATATCAGAGCATGGTATTGCTATTGCCATTAAATGACAATAGCAATAATATACTAGAAATTGAAAATAGTTTACTGAGTGTTCACTTACTGGTTACGAGGGTCTAAAGCAAGCCCACGAGGGCTAGTCACATTTTTGTTTAAAAGGACCTTCCGGAAGCGGCCGTCCAGCGTTGAGACCTCAATGTTCTCCAAGACAGAGTCAGTCCAGTAAAGGTTTCGACCCACCCAGTCCACAGCAATACTCTCAGGTACCATTAGACCCGAGGAGAACACCTCAAAGACAGAGCAAGACGACCAATGAGAATAATTCCCAACCTGACTCAGTGTAAGCTGCTTTTCACTCCAATCTTTTTGTTACAATGCTTCAGCGACCACTAAGAGAAGTTGTCCAACATCTCACACTTAAACACAAATCTCATGTGGTACCATTTCACTTACTTCCCGTTTGTCAGTGCCATTCTGGAAAGAACTCCATATCTTTTTCTGTGAGGAATCAGCCCAGTAGATTTTGGAGGTTGAGCGGTCAAAGTCTACAGACACAATGCTTGAACCAGTGACCACTGGATGTAGCTGGGGTGGTCTTATGTAGATCTTGTTGGCGATGATCTGGCTACGCTTGGTCACCAGTAACACTGATAACACTTGGTCTTAGAGCAGATAAAAATTCAGTTAAATCAATGGTTTTTCATCATATTTCCAATGCAGCTGTATTTGTATGATACATTTGTTGGCCTACTTGCTGCTTTACAGGTGCGTCCATCAGGTTCTAGAAGATAACCGTCTGAGCAGTGACACCTAAAGCTTCCTCTCTCATTATAGCACTGCTGGCTACAGAAACCAGGGATCAAACACTCGTCTATGTCATCACAAGTTTTGGAGTCGTTGAGGAGCTGAAATCCTGGTGGACAGGTGCACTGAGCTCCAAATGGTCCTTGAACACAATCATCACTGCAGCCTCCGTTGTTCAGTGCACAGTCATTTTCATCTTCATGAAGGAGCAAAGCAGTAAATTGTTTTTTATATTCATCAGGCTGTTTAGTCTTGTTTGTCAGATTAGATGTTTCTTTTAATACTCACTGCAGAGAGGGGACTCGTCTGCTCCGTTTGGACAGTCCCTCTGCCCATTGCACACCTTATCCAGGTCGATACACACCTGGTCAGTGGGGCACAGCCACTGTCCTGATGGACAAGTGAAGGGAGGTGTGGGGCAGTTCTGTTCATCGCTCATGTCCCTACAGTCATTCTCCCCATCACACAGCCAGCTTGTTGGAATGCATATCTTGTTTGTGCACTGGAATTGGTTGGACCTGCATGTGATAGGTGGGCAGGAATTGTGTTCATCTGATCCGTCCTCACAGTCTGGGTGGCCGTCACACTCCCATTCGTCTGGTACGCAGAGACCGTCAGTCTGGCACTGGAACTCATCATCATGGCAGAGGCCCGGACCTCGAGTTGCTGGAGATGTCAGATACAATTTAGAAAAAAGAAATCTTTCTTAGCTATTCGAGCAGCAAAGGCAGCAATTAAAATTATTATCATAACAGCAAACAGCAGTTTGTGTGTTAACATACGACAGTCTTGTTCATCTGAATGGTCCCTGCAGTCAAACACTCCATCACATTGATAACTTGAACTGATACACTGGTCCCCGCTGGCACAAGCAAACTGATAGGACTGGCAAGAAAACTCTAGGAATCAAAAAATAAAAACAAATTAAAGAGATGCAAAAAAATGGCAAACACCAATTTTCTTTGGGCTATGGGTGTCACTTTGTTTTTAACCCAGAATTACTAATGATTCTTACCGCAGTTTTTCTCATCTGAGCCATCCAAACAGTCCTGGTCACCATCGCACACGTAGAAGCTGCTGATGCAGCGGTGATCAGGGCAAAGGAAGTAGCCCGAAGGGCATGTTGTGATGGTGGAATCTGGCAGTCACACGCAGTTCAATTAAAAGGGGAAAAACAAAAGGAGTGTAATGTTTCATAAGCTACAGAGGACACTGGGCAGCAGAGTTACAGCCTCAAACTTACTGCAATTTTGTTCATCGGAGCCATCCCCGCAGTCATTGTCACCATCACATACCCACGATTTAGAGATACACCTGTTGTTATCACAGGTGAAGTAGCTGGACCCACAGGTGGTCGGTACACGTGTGGGACAGTTCATTTCATCAGAACCATCTCCACAGTCGTCCATGCCGTCACAGCGCCAGCTGGAGTATATGCAACGCTTGTTATTGCAGGTAAAAGCCTGCGGAGAGCAGGTCGCTCCTGGTGGAAACGCAAAAGGCTGTCAGTTCGTTCCCAATGATCTACTATAACAATTGTAATAATTTCATACTAAAATACTTACATTTTCGAAACACAGTAAAATAAATGTACCTGTATTAGTGCAGTTGGCCTCATCCGTTTTATCTACACAGTCAATAATTCCATCACAGCGGTAAGAGTTGGGCCGACAGCGTCCTTCGTCACACTCAAAGGAGAAGTCGCCACAGTTGTTGTCAGGTGGGGGGACAGAGTCGTCTTTAATGCAGTCCCTCTGATTGGACTGAAGTTTCATACCATACGGACAGCCACACACTCGACTGAAGGATGGAGTTGGGAAACAAAAATGGCTGCATTGCCCATTGGGCACCAAATTACAGCGGCTGGTGAAAGCTGGGGGGGGGGGGGGACAAAGAAGCAGCCAGACGGTTGTGAGTTTTTGTCATTCACTATTCCACTATTCCATTCTATTTAACCAACTACGAATGGACTCACTGCTGTGAAGGTCAGCTGTGTAGGCCTTGATGTTCAGGATGCCCGTGATTCCTTGTCTGATCATAATGTTTCCTCCTCCATCCCTTTTCCTCATCTCGTAAATGGCTCTGGTCCTCGTATCAGAGACATACAGGTAGTCTGCAATAGAATCAACATTTAAAAGATGTTTGCAGCTCAATCAGTGACGTTAGAATGAAATCTGCCTTTCGATTGTTATTCGTGTGCCATCGTCACTTTTTTACAGTGAATTTAAAAGTGGTATAAAGTTTTTGAAAGAAAAAGGTAATCACGTAAAGGTCAAAGGGTAAATGAAGTACAACAGCATTATAGAAACAAAGGAACCAGCACAGAACAGTAAGAAGTTTAGTTACCGGTAGAAGGTTTTTAGGCTTTGCCGTCACTGCGGTATTTGTCAAGTTTGTCAAGAAAATAATAAAAAGTTGCATTTTATTCACAATCAAAAATTGTGATTGTTTCGTAATTAATGCATTCAGACCGTTCACCTGAATAAACTGTCAAAGAGAAGGGTTGAGTGATCTGGCCCATGTTGGTAAATGTCTGTCGGTCATTTCCTTCAATGTAAATGTGACCAATTTGATCCAGGAGAGAATCCACCCAGTACAGTCTGTTCATTCTATAAAACAACAACTACAAGTTACACAACCGCTCTGTGATCACTGTACACATCTAATTCCTTTAGCAGGAGCTTTTGAATTGTTAACAAACACATTCATGAACACTGTACTTACGCATAGTCGAGAGCGAGTCCATATGGCCATCCCAGCGTGGTATTTACCAGAGGAATGGCATTGCTGCCGTCAGTGTAGGCTCTCATTATGACAGCTGGACGATACCAGTCTGACCAGAACAAGTAGCTGTGGATCAACATTTGATTAAAAAAAAAAAGAAACATGTTGATATAATCTTACAAGTTAAACTCTTATCAAGTCTAAAACTGACAACTGGCCAAATGAAAGTAATTCAGTAAATAATTCATTACTGGATATTTTCATTTAACAGGGTTTAGCCTTCACTTGGTTCTTTATCTGCACCAACAATCAGAACATCTGCTTTTAAGGAATTACTCACCCAGCACTGGGATGCACTGCAATTCCCTTTGGGTTCCTCAGGCCAGTAACAATGTCTCTTCTGGATTTGTCTGTGACTCTGAAGGCCACCACTGATCTGTAGGAACTGGTAGTCCAAAACAACACCTTGGACGTCCAGTCGTAAGCCATGGCATCCACATTTCCCACTCTATACCCAGTCAGAATCTGCTGGGCTGAATATGAAGTTGAGTGACAAGTGATGGAAAAGTTAATGGTTAGACAAAACAACAATAGATAACACAGATTTATTCAGATACATTTTACAAATTAATGGTTTAGTATACAGACAGAAGTACAAATTTACCTGTGCCATTGAGATTTGACTTGTAAACGAGACCTCTTGACCTGTCGTTGTAAAATATTATTTCTTCATTTCCATCAAACTCCACTGCAGAGCCAGAAAGTGATGTTCCAAGTCCTGTAAGGGGAAGGGTGACATCCTCCTGGAGGGACACGTTCAGAGGCAGTCCCCTTACAGCCAGCGAGGTGGCCACTAACAAATAATCCTTTATCTCTGTTAAAAGAAAGTGATACTGATTCATTGAAAGTTTTCATGTGGTCTACACATTGATTCATAAAGCTTGATTGAAGGAAAAATAAATACTGTCGTTTTGATCATCTCAAAATATTTTATTAGTGTGTCATCAATAATGACATTGTGTGTTTAAATGTATGTTTTGGCTTGTGTAGCTACAATAATTTATCAACTGGACTATAAAAATGTGCAAAACAGCAGACATTAACTCAATTATATTATATAATATATATAGCAAAGTTTTGGATTTAATCACTAAAACTTAGAAAGCAGAGGTCTAAAAGAAAGTAACTCACTAAAGCAGGTTCGAAGGTCAGACTGCAAATCGTAACCATAGCGACATTTGCAACGGTAGCCCAAACCCTCATTGTCAGTGCGATGACTTAAGACACAAATGTGCTGACAACCACCGTTGTGTCGGCCACAAGGATTCATCACTGCAACACAGCACAGACGGGATCCAGTTAATGCACTCTGATCTTTTTCTTATGCAAAAAATGCTTTTATCAAGTAGGAAAAATGCTAAAGATCGGGGATCTATGACCTCAGGACAGTGTGTGTGCCTACCGACTGGCTGCAGGACGCGGTGTGAGACCACCACATGGCCTGGCCGACTGGCAGTGCGATAGAGGAGAGTTGGGTTGCTGCCGTTGAACCGGTTGGACCTAATCACGCCCATTTTGGTCCAGTCGGTGAAAAACACATGATTTTCAAACACTGCCATTCCAAATGGATGCGGGGCCTGTGTTCCACCATTGACGACAATTTTCCTGAAAAACAGTAACAAAGTGGAAACGACGCTGCTGGATAACAGTTTAGTCGCAGAGGCACTCTCACCAAAAACATTCCGGTAAAAATGCTACCTTTCCAAACCACTGTATGTGACTGTCTCCACAGTGTCAAAGTGACTGTCAGACCAGTAGACCCTCTTGGTGACAATATCAAGCGTAATTCCAGTCGGTGTGCCAAGCCTGTCTTTGACCAGCTCCACTCGATTACTGCCATCCATAAAGGCTCGCTCTAGCTTTGTCTGCTTGTTGCTAACGCCCATGTCTGTGAAGAACATGTAGCTGCAAGCACACATAGATCAAACATCAACAAACAACAGAAGCCAACATAGAATTAATCTATTTATAACACTTGTATACATTTTATGACCCTAATGGATGGAAATGTTTTATCTTTATCATTCAGATCAGCCAATGTGATTGTACATAGTGCAAGCTCAGCAAATAAACTAAACCATATCATGTAAACACACCCCACTGTAGGGTCCAGAGCAAGGCCATGAGGACTGAGCAGGTTTTCAGCCACCAGTGTCACCCGGTTCCCTCCGTCAAAATCACACGCGTCAATACGTTCCACCATAGCCTCCAACACGTAGAGTTTGAAGTTGATCCAGTCCACAGCGAGATTCTGAACATTGTTGACTGCAGTGGTCAGAACCTCCTTTATGTTATTCCCATTATAGTTGACGGAGTAAACCTGTGAAAGGAGTCATTGGTATTGCAGTGAACTCGTACTTTAAAGGACCCTGAGAAGCCATTTTGTCAGTCACACTTATGGCTACAGCTCAACTCTACTGCCACTGTTCAGACACACACATCATCTGACGAAGCTACAGCATTGTAAAGTGAAGAAAGAATGCTTTTTTCAGGAATATCACCGGAAAGTGAGCCTGACTGACCTTTTGGGTGTTGGTGTCGCTCCAGAAGACTATGTCGCTGCGCCAGTTGTAGGCCACTCCTACAGCGTAGCCTCGGCCCTGAGAGGGCACCAGAGTTCGGACAAAGCGCCCATGGATATCAGCCATCATCACATCACCCCCGTTGGTGAAAATGAGCTGCGGCAATCCAGCTGAAAATGATAATGGCATTCATATGACTTACTTTTAAAGTAAACATGGCAATATAATGGCAAACATGTGTGACCAACCCGAAGAGAAAAAGATAGCTCCCAGTGGATGTTTATTTTAGATAAAAATCGTGATCATACCTACTATTTTAGCTTCATGTTTACCTTTAAAACTCCACCCATGCTAAAATAGAATATCAGCGTGACGTAAAGACGCTGTGTGATGTGTCACTGTGTACCTGACACGTTGGCTTTGCAGATATGACCCTGCTCTAAGAAGTATCCATCAGCACAGCTACAGTGGTGTGTCCCAGGGCGGTCCTCACACAGCTGGTCACAGATCCCCCAGATCTGACAGTCATTATAATCTGTGCGGCAGAGCAAACAGCCATGTTTTATAGCATGGACTCCAGGGGAGAAGATTTATTACTAAAACACTCCATTCAGAAATGAAGCCAGTATTCTCATATTCTGACCTGTGTTAAAACCTGACACAAACAGACTGAAAACAGTTGGACCAGAGAAATGTGCTTTCTCATGTTGACAGCAAAGACTAAATCTACTTCTCAGCAGTTTAGAGTGTGTTTTGATGGAACACTCACCCACACAGGTGCGACTGTCATTGGCCACTATGAAGCCATCAGGGCAGTAGCATGAGCCCCCCTGAGGAGAAGGGTGGCACAGAAACTCACAGCTCAAGATGGAGCACCGATCCAGGCCTGCGGATGAAAACTGTGCAGATCATTTTCAGGTCTAGTGATGTTTTGTGCTTTTTATTATTCTATTTCAACATGTGTCGCTCCAGACTTTTGGGTCATGACGTTAGAATTGGATTGTATTTTTTTGCAGCTGAGAAATGTGTTTGAAAGCCCTGAACAGTCTAATAAAAGAGCAAGAAAAATGTATGACATTTTTTTAACCCACTTTAAGTCATTTCTCAAATCGGCACTTACTGCAGGTTTGCTCTGCTGTGGAGTTGGTCTCGTCAGTACCTCCAGGACAATCAGGTGTGCCGTCACAAACTTTATCCACTGGTATGCATGTTGTGGAGCCTGGGCAGCCCCACTCTCCAGGGTAACAGTCCCGTGAGTCACTTTCTAAAAAGCATGCGAACACAAACAGGTGAATACAGAAATGGCAAAACCAGAGTCATGAAATGTATCCTTTTGCTCATTTTAACACAAGCCTGTTCCAACAATATTCATATTCATGTCAAACTAATTCACTTTTTTTCTCCTTTTTTCCTTTTCAAAACAAGTCCTGTCATGTTTAGATGAGGTCTCAATTTCCAATGCGTCCGTTTGAGTAGCACCATTTAACGCTGAATTGAAACTTGTGCCTCTATCAGAATCAGAATCAGAATCAGAAATACTTTAATAAACCCAGAGGGAAATTATTTATCTATGTGGAGGTTTTCTCACCACATCCTCGCTCATCGCTGAAGTCACCACAGTCGTTGAACTTGTCACACACCCAGCGCTGAGGAATGCAACGACCACTGGGGCACGTGAACTCACTGCCACTGCAGCTTGGGTATGCTGAGGCACAATTAGATCAAATAATAGTGAATGTACACCATCCATGAAATGAAAGTACCTCACTGCTGTGAAAGTGTGTGGAAGTGACTGTGGAGCCACGTTAAATCCTTACTGCAGCCTTGCTCATCGCTGTTATCCCCACAGTCATCCCAGTGGTCACAAACAAAGGAATGTGGAACACAGTACCCATTAGCACACTCAAACTGGTGTATGGGACAGTGCTGGGTAGCTAGGGAAAAGAAATAAAGAAATAAAAGCAACTTAATCAGTCAAACCTCTTAGGTAAACTTGATTAAGTTAGAATTGGTCTCAAAGTCCTTCAAGACTCACATAGGCATTCCTACATTTTACAAACTGTTAGACACCTACTAGTGATTGGTACTTCACTTCAATAAATGCAGCTAATATGCACGATTTGTTACCAATGTTTGTAATTTTTCTCTGGATATGCTTTACTGACTTCATGAAAACAAATGGTCACCCAAAGTGACCGTAATGTCTCCCATAAGGCAAAAACCTGAATTTGAAATCTAAAAATGACAATGCAAACAAAAAGAAAATTTGAAAGTTTAGTTATCTTTGCTCCTTTACATTCGTAAAATCTACAGTATATGTTAATATATATGTTCCCTATTTCCACTCATATGTGAAAGCATTTGCTAAATGCATTAATGATCCAGCCACAGATCAGTTTTACTCTGAATTTTGTCCACTCACTGCAGTTGGATTCATCAGAACCATCTCTGCAGTCCTGTAGGCCGTTACAGTGCTGAGAGTTATTGTAACACGCCCCATTTGCACACGTCCTTTCAGTGCAGGGTGGATAGTCTAAAAAAAGGAGGGATAAATTAACAGTTCTTTCATGCAACATTGAAAACTGAATTTGAATTATTTTTCTACTTACACACATTACTGGTGACAACGACCAAAAAAGGATTATTCTTCACATAAGTAAAAGTCTTACTGCAGTTGTTCTCATCTGAGTTGTCCACGCAGTCCTTCACACGGTCACACCTGTATTTGCCCGGGATGCACTGGCCCTCCCGGCAGGTGAACTGGTCTGGTTGGCATGTGCGCCCCCCTGAAACAAGCCAGTTGGTAATGTTTCCAAACATGGCATGACAAATTTTTACCAAGAAATGTTCTGTAGTTTGATTAATTTACAACAAATAGGATATTATTGGACAATATTTAACTAAACCTCTACTTTGTTCAAATGCCTGACATTCTTATCATAGTTATGACACGTTGATGGTCAGCAACTCCTGCAAACATTCTATAAGGCTGTAATGAGTACTTTAAATCCGTCTAAAGATTTTAACACATTAAAATGAAAACATTATTTTTTTAATACTATAAATTTGAATTGCACACTTTAAAGATTATTTTTTAACCTCTTACAGTAGAGGCACTGTAACAGACATGATGCTGCTCCCTAGTGGTGAAAGCTTTTTATAACCGCTGTTCAGCAGCTTAAATATGATTTTTAAAGAAATCTTTGGACACACTGTAATTATGTGGGCTGAATTTGTCACTCTAAATGTTTGGTGTGTATACTGTACCACATGTTCTTTGTTCATCTGAGCCATCAACACAGTCCTCCTCCCCATCGCAGACAAATCCGGATGAAATGCATTCACCGCTTGTCACACACTTAAATTCCTGCGAGGTGCAGGTCGCAGGTGCTGCCACAGAGGGGACAATCTGGGTTAACTGTTTACTGACAGGAGCATGTGCTTCTGCATTATTACAAACTCAGCTCTTCGCTTTGTTTTTGTCGATCTGTTTTATTTCACAAACACAAAGTCCTATATCGTCAAGGTTGTGAACAAATTCAGCAGATGGATTTAAAACTTACGACAGTTTAGTTCATCTGAGTCATCAGTGCAGTCTTTAGTTCCATCACACCTCCAGGCCATGCTGATGCACTGCCCGCTGGTGCACTGAAACTCATTACTGCCGCAGTTCCCTGTAGAGAAAACACAGCAACAGACAGGATGATGAGTTTGGATTAATCTGTTGAGGGCACTGCATTAGCTGGATGCATTTGATTCTGCTTGCAGGGTTCATTTATAGGATAATATATGATATTGGTTTAATCGTCTAATAAGGGACTATTTAAGTTTTTCTGTATTTAAGCTAATAGAAGTTACAATTTCTGTCAGATGAAGTTTTCTATTCCAGATAAAATCATTTGTGATGTCCATAGTGAACATTATTAGATTATTTAAAGAGGATAGATAGATAGATAGACTACTTTATTCATCCCCGAAGGGCGGATGGTGTAGATTTAGAATTTTTCCCCAAGTCATTGTAAGCGGCATGAATAAAAACAGCCACAGATAATTAACATACATTTTTAAAAGTTTCAACTGGAATGGTTAATGAAACCAACGAAAGACATTGGTCAGTGTGTAAATGTAAATACATATATATTTGTGTCTGCAGCTGAGGTCCACTGCTAAAAAATACTAACGATGATCATTACATTATACAATGCAATTTTTATCATTTCTTTGTACGGTGGGAACGTTCTTAGTCATTAAAATATTGCTGTGCAAATACTGACGAATGAAGATGTCTGGAAAAAAAACACTTATTGTATGTTTGATAGGGCAACTTTTTGGTGTAATACACACCTCCCAGCTGTTTATCAACAAGCTTGAAAGCTGCTGTGTTATAACTGAAGCCAGTATCAGACTTTACTAAAGATTCCATAGTGAATTAATCAGTCCAGGAAACCAAATTTAAATGTCACTGCTGCTTGGTTTTAAAAGGTGCATTTTACTGTTTTTTGTCCACAAATGAATTACCATGTTTATGACTGTCACACTACTTATAGTTTCTCTATGTGCAGAGTCGTGCCTTAAGGCATGTGATCTGGTCTTTAAAGAGAAGTTAATTCTTCACCACCAATTAACAACCCATCTCGTGACCACACACCAAGCCAAGATGCCATTTCAAGTCAATTATCAGGTAAGTTAGCAGAATGAAAACTCTGATGACTTATTCAGTGTTTTTAAGTTTCTTTTTTTTTTTTTGCATTCATATGAAATGTGTCTTTCACATTCATCAAGTTTGTTGTAATGTTTGATTTAATCATTTTTGGCAGTATTACGCAAAAAAAATGTTTTAAAATTTAAGATAAATTGAGAAAGAAATACACTGCACGTTCCAATTCCATTAAATTATTCAGAAGACTCAGGGGCACTTTGTTACAAGTTTATTGCTGAAATAGTAAAATAATGTGTTAGTCTTGAGGAGAATGTGGTCTCAAAGCAGAGACTACAATCTTCGGAATTGGAATAGTTTACAACTATCTTAAATTATCCTTAATTAATCTTTGTGACATTTTTTTCAAAGTGAGTGTGAAATTTAGCAATCTGAGATTTTTTGTCTCTCCAGGAAAATACCTACTGCTTACCTGTTACCTTATCTTTTGACAAATGGCTTTTAAAATGCAGAGTAAAGAGAGAACTCTTACCTTGAACAAGTTGAATTCCTTGGGTCAGCAGCAGAAGAGCCAAAAGATGAAGACCTTTAAGGTCCATCATTCAGCACTTCGTTTTCTTCTCTTAGTTATTCTGTTTCAAAATGCAGTTGTCAGTTTGGCTAAGTGTGTGGTCATGCCCAGTCTGCATCCATGACTCTCCAAACCCAAATGATCGTGAAGAGCGCAATGACTTTGGGCTTGAGATGTGAGACCACGAGCAGCCAGCAGATCAGTAATGTGACATGGACTGGTACGGCTTTTTATGGCTCGGTCCTTTACATAAACTTCATCTACGATTAACTTTTACCTGTCGGTGTGTTGTCTATGTCAGCAAAAAAAAAACAAGACAAAAATGTAACAGGTAATTTTTGTGTAACAAAGGAGGAAGTTCATTGCAAACAACTGATACAAATTCAGCCAGATCAAACGCATTTCTGCATTTGTACCTTTCATAACTATATTGTTTTTACTTCAAAACCATCTTTTTCTCTATTTGAGGAGAAAGTGATGTTCTTTTTGGGTGCCAGTTTGGTTCTCCCTACCCCAAACATGACTTCATGAATGAGCCGGTTAGGAGCAGCATCTTATGTAGAATAGCAAACAGAGGGGTCAAATCTATGCACATTCAAACGAAGGTTTGATCTGAAAAGATTCATACTATTTCTTTAAATTCTTTTCTTCAAAAAATACAACTTGGCTGGAAAAGTGAGATGAAAATATTATGGGCAGACTGGTTACTTCTGAATGATAATAATACAGTTATAAACATGTACACATTTCCCTACTGTTTGTGACTTCTGTGCAGCAAAAATTAAAACAAAATCAAAACACCACCTTACCAATAACAATCATCACGGGAGGTAAATGTAGCTTCTTCACAGTTGAGCCTTTCTCCTGCAGAATAACTTATGTGTATTTGCTAGGATGCTGAGTTTCAGATATTTGAAGAGATTATGTGTTTAAGGGTGTTCTATTCACTACATAAACAAATCTGAGTCTGTGAAAAAAAGAAAATCAAAGACATTTCCAAGACCCTTTTGAGGCAAGTGGGCGAACTTGTTTCATCACTAGGTGGCGCTGCAAACTAAAAATGGTATAGTGGTGTAGATCTGCATGTACTTGTGTAGCTGTAGTGGCACATTTGGTTGATTTGCATAATCTGAGTAAATGCTAAACCCACTGTTGTCATTTAATTCTCACTGGTTGACTGGATATAATGGTGTGAGATTAATATAGTCATATCAGACATTTACATTAAATCTTACTTTAAAAGAAGCATTGATTGCTTGTCTTTAAATTGAGAGACTAATGGCATAGAAGGATTTGCTAATATGTCAACAATAGGTGGGAATTAGAGGCCCGGGTTGTTATTGTTCTATATTTTGGTGAGAAAGGAAGAACTTTTTTGCATTCCTCAATTCCAAGTTGAAAATCTTTACTGATCTCATTGTGATACAATTTTTGCCTCTGGCGTTTAACATTTTGACACTCCATTTGTTCCATTCTGATGGATGGGGCATCTTTCTCGCAAAATCTTAGCCATTATAAAAGAAGACAAAGCTAAAACAGGAGGAATGGTAATTACTGCAAGTACTTCCTCATGTGGAAAATGAGTGCTCTCATTTAATGGGGATTTTATCTAGAAAGCTGTTGGTCAGTCAGGTGAGATAGATTGTTTTTCTTGGACCGGACACACCTGCTGACACGTGTCAGTTTAATATTTGGCAAAACGCACAACATTTTGTTTTCCAGGATGCAAATAAAGACTTCCTCAACACTACACATGTACATAAAAAACACCCTGGTTTAGATTCAGCCTAAGAGGCTCAAGACAGGATAAAATGCTTTAGAAATACCAACTGATATACGGATTTAGGTTCATACAGCATTTTCCAAAGTCAATAATACTATGCAGCAAAGTTCATTTGGTGGGAGCTGTAGACACAGCCTTTCTATTTGAACTAACCTCAGCCATGCCCACTTTATTCTTTAGTAGCAGATAAGACGGAATTTTGTTTTGTTGAAAAAGGACTTCCTCCTCACAGCCTGCCCTCTGAAAGCCCTCTGAACCTCGCAGATGTCTCTTTTTTTGCTATGATACACCTTCGCAAATATGATTTTTTTCACTTTGGTAGCTCCCTCTAACTGAATTAAGCCACAAACAGATTTAACACAACCAGAAAAGAATGTATTATCATTTTTACATTTAATAGATGTGGATGGTTATATGTACATAAGGCCACTCCTTAGGTAATCAATTAAGGTATTCTTAACTTTAATATGTTGTTTGCAGCATTTTTGGGTCATTATCACTTTTACGATGAAATAAACAGATGATAGGCAGCTTCTGGTAACTTCTTTATTAGATTTTACAATGCTGGACATTGGAACTGTGATGCTGCTGGATTGCTTTATAGCTTTTTGCGGAAAGAGGAAGGGCTCAGTGTTCTTTCAGCATAAACGAAAGAGTGACTATCAATGTATGAAGAAAAATGGCAAAACACAACAAATACCTAAATTGTTTTCTGGCATTAAAATGATATTTCACAGAGGAATAATCTCACCACTTTTTTACCATGAGAACCTCAGAATCTTTACAAGACGCACATCTACATCCCACCTTGCTGTTCACAAACAGCAGTTAACTAATTCCCAAAGGATCAAAATGTCCTGCTTCTCTGTAAACATTGGATTCTTTCGTTGCAAGGCTTCATGTCATGGTCTCATACACATGATTTGCTTTCTACAAGCATTTTACTTCCCTTTAGAAAGTGTTTGTTTCAAGGTATTTTTAATACATTAAAAACAAGCCTTTTTATTTACCACAAAATATTTGGGCACAATTTTTGTGATTGTGGAACATCTTCGAACGAATGACAGGTACATACATACTGAGGATAGTGATGTCTGCTTAATGTCTTATTCCAGAACTATTTCACTCTTCAGTGGCAGTATAAGAGGTGACACCAGCAGTTTGTGTGGCTGACCTTTTATATGGTACTATTCAGACATACCAGGGTCCGTTTTTGGACGTCAAAATAGCTGCTGATAACATCAGAAGTATTAATTATGATAAAATAGTTTTTAATGGACAAGTTTTTTTCCCCCTTGAGTCACGATAGATATCCCTTTTCAAAAAAGATGTAATAGCTGTTAAGTTCTGGCTGAAAAGATCCATAAGCTGTTACACTTTAAAGTGATTTGATTAAAAAAGCTAAAATCTTGGGAGGGATCCAAGTGAAGGTAGCAGAGGACAGACCAATCATACTATTATCACAATTAAACCCACGTCGACCTCTGGCAAAACTAGCCCTTTGATTTAAATTTCCTCTGAAGACGATTACATTATGTTTTTTTTAATAAATGGAAAGAAAAAATATTAAAATATTATTTTATTGAACATCTTATTATTTAAATATTGAAACTGACGATTCATTTCAGTGTTAATATTAGATTTGTGACAAAGGAATACTAACAGATTAAAAAACTTGTAAAATATCATATGTTAAATTACAAATCAGTCAGACATGAAAATACTTAGCAATAAAACCTCCATGTAGTAATATAAAACACAACATCAACAACGGTGATTTATAAACATTTGAAAATAATAACACTTAAAGAAATATTTAACTAACTGACAGATTTGAAGAGAAAAAAGCGATAAAGTTAATGTCATTCACAAAAGTTCAACAAAGAGTTCAACAGAAAACTGAGATCAAAACCTCTTTACAAACCTGAAACACTCAACATGTGAAATAATTACTTGTAAATTCACAGTTGAGCAAAAAAACAAAATTGGCATGTCAAGATCATCATTTCCCAGTTTGAGTTTGATGAAAACAAATTATTCAATTATATTTCATTAAACTGATAACAGTAATGATTAATGACACAATATATTGAAAATAATTAGAGCAATGCCAGACAGGGGTGACTTATGAAATCTTATTATTGGGCAGACTTAAAGTAATATTATATAAATCAGACTTCTGGACTTATTATTGCACACTAGACATTGCACATGTATGAACACAAGCAGCCATGAGCTAATACATTTCTTACATTAAAAGGTCTAAGCTGTCTGGCATCTTCATTTTTGATCTGGAGAAGCATTGGTGTTGGGTCAACTTTAGTAATTCTGCATTAATTCAGCCGTCTTCCGTCATCGCTCGTGAAGTAGGGGTTGGAGTGGCCTCTAGTCTCTGCATATGGGTTCCTGTTTTGACCATAGGAGCTGCTCTGGGGTCCTGACTGAGCGTAGGGGTTGGTCTGGGGTCGAGTCTGATACTATAAAAACACATCATTTCGGTCATTATTTAGCCTCTACATTAAGGAGAGAAAGAAAAAATAAAAAAAAATAAAAATAAATAAATATATATATATATATATATATATATATATATATATATATATATAATAAAAATGTGACCGAATTTTAAGAAAGAAAACAAAGAACTTAAGGAATTGTATATTCTCATGGAGGCACACTCACCGAGTTCGGCCCTGCAGGGATCAGATTTTGCCGGCTGTTGCTTGGAGTCATCTCAAGGTTGGTTCTGCTTTCCCATCCATTGGTGGCCGTGGCCGTGGCCCGTGGAAACCGAGATGCCCCAAAATTGGCCTGCCCATTGATAGAGTGTGTGGCACCATTGGATACGTTGCCGTTCACCAGTGGTGCCTTGGCAGGAGAATGGCTGACGTAAGGTTTCACAACATCTTCATTTTTGCTCCTCTTTGAACTCTTCTTTGACCTAAAAAGAGTGATTATAAAATTTAAATTGTGTGTTTGGATCTAGATTTGTCACTCCTAAAACCATATTGTGTCTACAGTAGTTTCTCGAATAAAAAGCTTATCAACACACATTACCATGAGAAACAGTGTGTCATGAGCAAAAGAAATGTGACAAAAACAGAAGTAATTAAAGCCTGAAAATTACATTGTGTAAGAAAAAACTTACTTGCAAGACTTTACAATCAGAACGATGACAGTGATAAGCAACAGTCCTCCAAGGATAGGGGCAATGATAATCAACAAAAACTCAGAATCTAACACAGAGAGGGAAAAAAAACAGGAGGCCAGGAGGTCAGCAGGTTAAAACCTCTCCAAAAACAAAGTCGCAGTAAATATGTAAAATGTAAATGTATACATATGTGCTCTACAGTACCAAGTGACAACATGAGCATGAGTGCCCTAAAATCCTGCCGGATAAAACTGATGTTTTTGTGGATTACGTTAATTTGTCTGTAGCAACAAAATTACAGAATGAATTTTCCAGTGATAAGGTCCACAGCTGAACATCTAAAATACCATGGACAACTTTTTATTTTAGCAGTAGTTACTCTTTTAATACCAGGAATTTTTTTGAGGGAATTGAAAAACACATAAAAGTGAATTCTATAAAATGAAAATGGCACAGAAAAATACATTGCAATACATTGCAAAACTCACCATCCTCGCAGTTAAATCCAGAGTAGTGCGGTGGACAACTGAAAGAGAAAAAAAAGATTTAAAAAAAGATAGATAGATAGATAGATAGATAGATAGATAGATAGATAGATAGA